TTAGGTTTTCAATACTTTGTTACTTTCATTGATGATTATTCCAGATTCACTTGGTTATTTTTGATGAAAAATCGTTCTGAATTATTTCATATCTTTCAAACTTTTTTCAATGAAATTCAAACTCAGTTCGGTGTTTCTATTAGAGTTTTGCGCAGTGATAATGGTCGTGAATATATTTCTCATTTTTTTAAACAATTCATGGCTTCTCATGGTATTTTGCATCAAACTTCTTGTGCTTATACACCTCAACAAAATGGTGTAGCTGAACGTAAAAATAGGCATCTTATTGAAATAACTTGCACTCTTTTAATTCATGGAGAGGTTCCTCATCATTTTTGGGGTGATGCTCTTCTTACTGCATGTTATCTTGTTAATCGCATGCCATCTTCGGTTTTAGATAATAAAATACCTCATTCCATTTTATTCCCTCATGAACCACTTCATCCTTTACCTCTAAAAGTTTTCGGGTCTACATGTTTTGTTCATAATTTCAGTTCTGGTCTTGACAAGTTTTCTCCTAAATCACATAAATGTGTTTTCTTAGGGTTTACAAGATCACAAAAAGGATACAAATGTTTTTCTCCTTCTCTTAACTGTTATTTTGTGTCTGCAGATGTCACCTTTGATGAGTTCTCTTTTTATTTTAAAAGTCAATCTTCACCTCTATCTCCATCCAATCTTGTCAACACTCCTAGTACATTTAATGTTCCTGTTGTTTGTGACCCTCTAACTGTGTCTTCTTCACCATTAGTTTCTACTCCGCAGTCAGTTTCTTCTTCACTGCCTCTTCAGGTTTATAGTTGCCGAAACCAATCACAACCACCACCATGTGACTCTACTCAAGTGCCAACTACTCTGTCTCCTCCGGATGTGACACCTGAGTCTGACCTTCTCATTGCCCTCCGAAAAGGTATTTGTTCTACACGTAATTCCTCTCCCCATTATATTGGTTTGAGTTATCATCGATTGTCATTACCTTTTTATACATGTCTTTCCTCTCTTTCTTCTGTGACCATTCCAAAAACTGTCCGTGAAGCTTTAGCCCATTCTGGTTGGCGTCATGCCATGTTAGATGAACTAAGTGCTCTTCATAATAGTGGAACTTGGGAATTGGTCTCGTTACCGTCTGGGAAATCTGTTGTTGGTTACAGGTGGGTGTTTGCTATCAAAGTTGGACCTGATGGTACTATTGATCGCCTCAAAGCTCGTCTTGTGGCCAAAGGTTATACTCAAATTTTTGGGTTGGATTATGAAGATACCTTTTCCCCTGTGGCAAAGATGACTTCTGTTCGTTTATTTATCGCTGTGGCCACTCTTCAACAATAATCTCTTTATCAACTTGATGTTAAAAATGTTTTCCTCAATGGTGATTTGCAAGAAAAAATCTATATGGAGCAACCTCCTGGGTTTGTTGCTCAGGGGTAGTCTTCTGTGATGGTATGTCGTCTTCGCAAATCCCTATATAGCCTAAAACAGTCTCCTAGGGCCTGGTTTGGAAAGTTTAGCAAGGTTGTTCAACAATTTGGTATGACTCGGTGTGAAACAAATCACTCTGTCTTTTATCGACACTCAAGTGCTGGATGTGTTTACTTGATAGTATATGTTGATGACATCGTTCTTACAGGTAGTGACAACCATGACATCTCTCAGTTAAAACAACATCTCTATCACTATTTTCAGACCAAAAATCTTGGCAAACTTAGATATTTCTTGGGTATTGAGGTGGCACAGTCCAATGATGGTATTGTTATATCTCAGAGGAAGTATGCCATGAATATTTTGGAGGAAACTGGGTTGATGAATTCAAAGTCTGTTGATACGCCCATGGATCCCAATACTAAACTTCTACCAAATCAGGGGGAGCTTAAACCTGATCCTGAGCAGTATAGAAGATTGGTTGGAAAATTGAATTATCTTACAGTTACTTGTCCTGACATTTCCTTTGCAGTAAGTGTGGTAAGCCAATTTCTTAATTCCCCATGTGAAGATCATTGGAATGCAGTCATTCGTATCTTAAAGTATATTAAAGGATCTCCTGAAAAAGGATTGTTATATGATTCTAATAACCATACAAGAGTTGTTTCCTACTCAGATGCTGATTGAGAAGGATATCTTTCGGATAGAAGATCTACATCTGGATATTGTGTCTCCATTGGTGGTAACTTGGTCTCATGAAAAAGTAAGAAACAAAGTGTCGTGGCAAGATCTAGTGCAGAAGCAGAATATAGAGCTATGGCCTCAGCTGCTTGTGAACTTGTTTGGCTCAAGCAATTGTTTAGAGAGTTACAATTTGGAGATGTCACTCAAATGTCACTTGTGTGTGACAATCAGACTGCTCTTCATATTAGTTATAATCCTGTCTTTCATGAGAGGAGCAAACACATTGAGATTGACTATCATTTCATTCGAGAAAAGATTATACCTGGAGACATTAAGACTGAGTTTGTTAACTCAAGTGATCAGTTAACAGATATTTTTACTAAATCTTTACAGGGTCCTAGAATTGATTATATTTGTAACAAGTTTGACACATACGATTTGTATGTTCTTGCTTGAGGGGGAGTGTTAGATATTGTTTAGATATTATTTGATATTGTTAAGATATTGTTAGATATTGTTAACCACAATATCAAACAATATCTTTTGTTTATTCTGTTACTTTCAGTTACTCTTTTAGTTGTATCTCTCTACTATAAATAGACTATCCTATGTGTAATTTATACACAAGGAAGATTAATCTCAAACTTTATTTCTTCTATATTCCACCGCTTCCTTTTATTGTAGGTTTCGGAATTCACTACAAAATTCTATTTAATGTGACTTTAAGTCAGTCTTCTACCAACTAATAAAATTTGATCTAATTTAAAAATAGTTGGTATATATCAGAAAGATTTACTAAAAAAGTAAAAGTCAATCTAGTGATGTCTAAGCTTCAAAAAGAATAATTTGTAAAAGTAGAAGTGAAAATTTGAACCCTTTGAACTAGGGCAATCAAAATTCAAAAGATGAAACTCTACTAACTTTACCCTAGCGTGATCACATGCTTATAGCACCTGCCATTTTAGACAGAGTGTTTGTCCTTTCCATATGGTGCACCTCTGCTGCAGTGTGCGTGTCAGCATTATTGTTCTTTCATAGACTTGGGTTTGCTAAATACTGAGATGCCCATGTGACATTAAACGTACCATCATTATATATGACTATGAGCATAATAACATGCAGTATAGTGATGTACTGAAACTTACCCATTCTTTGTTTGAGACAATTATATTCATTCTGCTCACTCCCACCTACCTGCCTGCCTCACAATCCTATCTCTACTCTCCTCATCCTAACCACTGCATTTAATTCAGAATCCAAGTTAAAAGCAATGCCCATCCCTTGCCTCTCTTTCTTCGAATCATCTTCGCTAACTTTGTAGACGGAGTTCCAAGTTTACATTAATTATTTTCATCTATCTTTCTAAAAACCAGTTTTTAAACGTCATCCCCTAAGAAAATTGTTGTCAATAGTTCAAACAATAAAAATCAGCATTGAAAAAATATACCTGTCTTTTAATTCCCCATGCAATAGGATAAAGACTTTAACCCATTTAATAATAATTGAAACCTACCTAAAACCAAATAATTCCCGCAATATAACGAAATGGAAAAAAAAGTCCTACTCTCATAATGAAAAGCACTTCCAACAAAATTGAACTTGACAAAGTGGGTAACTAAATTATATTAGATGTCAGTGTGGTCTAATACCTAATTAGTTTACAATGAATTGTTTCAACATAAGAGAGCATGAAAAAGCTAATTAATAAGGAACGAACCAGTAGAACTTAATGCTATTGATATCAAAAGACCACAAGGGAGCGAAGAAATAAAAAAAATTATGTCTCTCTCCTTTTTATTTCTTAACGCAAATTGAACTTGAACTAATGGTAGCAAATAACATGATCATTGTAGTATTTTTTTTTTTTTTTGCGACAATTGTGTTATTATTATTATTATTATATCTAGAAATAATTGTTATAATAAAATATTATTATATGTTGTGATAATATTAAATTATTTTATAATATAATTAGTTATTATTTCATAATTATATTCACTTTACGACATAATTATATTCACTTATACTCTATTATTTATAATTACAAAATACATTATTATCAACTTTTTGTTGTTATTTAAAAAGTCTTTCCTGCTTGCATGCTCATTTCTACACATTTTCACTCTATTTTTTAATTATTTTTCTCAACTTCTCTATTATCATTTTTACTTCCTCTAAGAGACACAAGAAATGTCTAGGTTCAGACCGTAATGCAGTTCAACCCAAAGTTTCCATGAGAATTGCTAGTATTACTAAAACATACTCTTCCCAACATTCTATAATATTAGCAAAAATTCATTAAAAATACAACATCTAAAAAGGTCATTAAGAATTGGCACAACTGTAATTTCTAATCAATTTTAACCTATAAGAAAAAGGTATGTTCAACAAAGAGTTAAAATATGTATTACTGGCATCTCTATCCCCATTAGCGTCATTTCATCATTTTATTGCTGTTACAGGAAAACAGCCAAGCCACATATAAATAACAGACAGAAGATTCAGCTCACAGAAAGTAGCAAAAATTGGGCAAACGAAGGTGTATGCTGGGAACAGTTCAATGAAAAATACTTCTAAAATGAATAAAAATGGCCGTATCAAAGAAAATTCCAGATACATAGTCTGTCATCACTCTAATGCGTAAAAACAGCCTGTTCGGAACTGAGTTACCATGTCTGTAGGTTTGCAAGCATAGAACCAACAATTTCTAAGCCAAGTACAAGGGGCTGTTCTTTCCAGCAATCATTCAAAAAGCAGCAGGCAAACCCAAATGAAGCATATAAAGTTGGCTATATATTGCCCATGTCACTTGGAAGTCTCCTCATCTTTTGTCGCCATAGGATGTGTTCCCTTTAACTTAAGAAATTGTTACAAAGGGCAGAAAACAAATAAAAGAAAATTCACGATCCGATTAGATCAGGTGTTTCTGCCTCGATGGACAACAATGCAGTGTGTACTTTTCCTGTCCAACTGTCCAGTCGATCCCTTAAAGATTTGATCTGTTGAATACCCAGAACTCTTGGTTGCACCCAGGAAACATGCACTGTGCCCTCAACTTGATCAATTATACCCTCAATTAGATGAACCTGGAATGAAGAAATTCACTTTGAAGCTTTAAATTTTAAAATGTCATTTGCCCCAACCTCTACATGATAAGAATCAAGTTCTCAATCGCAGAAATTCAGTTAACGAAACTTCCAATAGCTTTTCTTTGAACTATACATTAACTATAAATCCTATGAAACAAGTACATAATTGCTATAAAATACATTGAGAATGAAGTTGTCTGCTGTGTTCACTGCTGTAAAAAACATTCAGTGAAGGAGCAAACTGTTTCTAAACCACAGCCACATTTTTCAACACGGCCCTCTGCTAAATCACTGAAAGGGTGTAGAAATACAAGTAAAACAAAATATTTGGTTGAATAGAAAAAATGTCTCACGTCTAAAGCTTCAGGAGGTACTGAAGGCCAAGATGAAAGCAAGACTCTAAAAAGTAAGACAACACTAGTTCCAAAAAGCATTCCAGCTTTGAACCTATGGCAAGCCCTTTGGAATTTAATATGGCAAATAATCAAGCTCAAACTTCTAACATCATATAAATAACGCATTCCATGCAAAATTACCAAAATTCATAAACCCTAGTTAAAAGGCAAATGCTCAACAAAAGTTTAACCAAGAAGTACTCTCCAAATCAACCAACGCACTTGTCACTTTATCCCACTTTTTAGTGAATGTATATAGTTCATTTCTAGGTGATAAAAATCGAGTCAATTGCCAATGAAAACTATAGAGAATTATCTAATAAACAGTCAAAGTCAAAATAGATTATTTGTATTGCAACCTATTACCAACAATATATTAAGTCAGATATGCTTTAAATGAAATCAAGCATCAAAAGCTCTTCTGAACATGCTTAAACAGACAGGTCACACCAATCACTATGACAAATCTACCACAAAATGGGATCAACATAGAAAAAATATACCCAAGGTGCTAGCTATGTGGTCAAGTAGAGTAGCTAGAACTCAAAAATTAACTCTTCATTTTTTAAGTAATAATCAACACAACATAATTCTTCAACTGAATAAGGACAAGTCAACCACTCAGAGTCAAGAATTTCAATAAATATAAGTTAGATTATTGTTTATATCTCCATTCCCAAATAATCGTCATCATAGATCAAGCCTTAGTAAAAAATAATATAAACTGATTGAAAAATGAGAAGAAACTAGAAACATCCTGAGCTATTTCACATTTACTGAAATGCATGGTTTGAAAATGCACTACTTTAAATGGTTGCATTGAAAATAAAATAAAAAAATTCTATATTATTCTCCTGACAACTTCCAATACAACTTACAGATAAACTCTTCATTAGGAGATGTTCCACATTCTCTATAGAAAGTTTTGTACGCTCAGCAATTACACTCAAGGGAATAGTTCGATTTTCCGAAGGCCGACTGCAAGCAATGTTAATCAGTTTGAGTTGGAAATTAAACATAAAGGTTATTAAATACATCTCAACAGGTGACAACAATGATAACTAATAAATTATACACCTGAATATAATCTCCATCAGACAGAGAATGTTGATCTTTTCCAACAACTTTTGTTCATTTTGAACTAGTGCTGGTTGGGCTCTTAAAGCAGCATTATGCACCCGACATAATTCTTGATATCGTACTAAATCACCAGAATTGAATGCCTGCAGAATATAGTAAAGCCATTCCACTTTTGTCCCTAGAAGGCTCTTGATCTGTTTTAACATATTATAGGCTGTGTGAACCAACATATTATAAAGATAGATGAAATAAAGAAATTTCAAAAAATGGGTGCTCCAAATATTTTGATGCAAATACTCACTATTGGATGGGCAAGTAGCTCTCCAAAGTTGTAGATGTTGTCCCCAAGTAGGGCAGAAAGGGACAAATCAAATGCTAAATCCTAACAAATTAAAAGTAGCACATCAATTAATATCAAATTTGCAGATAAATAGAAACAAACCATAAGTAGATAGACCACTATGAACTCCGCCTTGACTTTATTCTTTAAAGAACAGTGTAGGCTTATATGTAATTATAAAACTCGGATTAAGTTTCCATTTTACCAAAAAATTAAATGCATCAATCTATCTTCAAACTCCTCCACGATGATCTTTCCAAGGATGACATTTACATTTGTGATGTCATGATGAAGCAGCAAAATAGAAGTACATAAGCTAAACTTTTAATAGGTATTAAATAAAACATTACATAAGTGAAGCTCGGTTTGACACATCAACTAGCCTTAATTGTTATAGGACAACTTTACCAAACCAATACAAAATACAACTAAGCTACGCCATAATCTCAATTTCCTTTTGTACAGAACCCAGTCCTAAAGTTCAGGCTCATACAAGACAAAATGTCATGATGAAGCAGCAAAATAGAAGTACATAAGCTAAACTTTTAATAGGTATTAGATAAAACATTACATAAGTGAAGCTCGGTTTGACACATCAACTAGCCTTAATTACTCTAGGACAACTTTATCCAACCAATACAAAATACAACTAAGCTACGCCATAATCTCAATTTCCTTTTGTAAAGAACCCAGTCCTAAAGTTCAGGCTCATACAAGAGAAAAGCCTTAACCTAAAATTGGAGTTCAGCTGCCATGAGATCTGTACTACTGGGTCATATATAAAGTAACACCGCAGAAGCACATTGTGATTCATGAGTAAATGACTCCTTCATACCTTACAGTTGGATGTTAGATTACAGTGGGTCATATTAATTCAAAAGCCCGTGACTAAGGCTATTAATCAATTTACAGTGGATCATATTAATTCAAAAGCCCATGACTAAGGCTATTATTCAATATGACCCACTGTAAATTGATTAATAGCCTTAGTCATGGGCTTTTGAAAGTATCACATGTGCTTTTAAAAGCTGTTTTTCTTATTAGTTACTGGCACCTAGGTGTAGCCTTTAATCATTGTACTCACCGTGATAATTGTTTATTTTCCTAACAATATATGGATCAACTAAGAGATAATTAATCTCTTAAGTTCCTTTATCATATTTTCCAGTCTTAAGTATGTTTATCGTCCACCATGACTTCCACCATAAGCTGTTAGCCATCAGCCATATTCATATGATGGATTTAAGGCTCACCACTATAGGCCGTCAATTTCTATTGATAAGCTTGGTCACAACATGAAACAACTTTAAGATTACTTCTGTGTCCCCACTTGCAACCATACTTATAAATCATAAATTGATTCAAAAGAAACCATAACCAGAGTAAAGTGTACGTGAATAACCACAATATGAGACAACAAAAAAGGAAACAATCAACAAAATATTTGAGACAATTGTGATGACACACCAGCTTGAATGATTCTGAAAGAGACTCTACTGATGTGTATGCCAAATAGAGAAGAGCACTTTTGTAGAACTCAGCAAATTCTTGGCGGGTCTTGTAATATTGAGATGATACCCAGTAATAGCTAGCATATACAGATGGATCAATATCTGTCATGCTGTCAAGTGTAGTCTTCCCATCTTCTAGAAGTTTCTTGCTTTCCTTTTGGTCACCTTGCTCAAGCTTGAATATTGCTATCTGCATCTTAATGTATAGAATAGGTTCTTCTATGCGCTGCTCTCTAGTGGCCTGCAGTTTCTCAATGACCCCTTCAAGATAACCAACAGCAGCTTCTTTTTCAGAATACTGCCGAGAAACTATTACAGCAAAATGTGCAAGCTTCAGAAGGTTGATTTTAGTCTCGAAGTCTGTGATGAAATTGTGATATAATTGAATCAATGCATCACCGGCCTGAAAGTTTTAGCAATAACCATTTATAACACAAAATTATAAACTGTAATAAAGAATACAAATACCAGGGTGAATATATTTTCAATAGAAGTAAAGAAATTATATTTGAAGCAAAACGAAATAGCTACATTTGCAAACTAGTTGAGTAGAAAAATGAGTAACATAATGACTAACACAATGGAATCAGACATAATAGCTAATTAAGTATATGCATTAGTGTGCAATAAAGTGGCTGGGAGAGTTCTACTTTGGGATATTCTACAATCAATGTTGTTAAATAGTGGCCATGGAAGCGCTGTGGCAGAAAACACTCAGGCACCATGAAATGGTGGTGGCATGGCAAGTTGTGGAGGCCAAAAAATGCAAAGCAACCATGGAGTCTGACATGACCATGGCAAAGTGCATGCCAAAAACAAAGAGATGAATGAATCGGGTCATGGCACCCAGTCCAAAAACAGTCTCAAACCCCAACAGAAGATAGAAAACAGGTTGGACTGAATGACCAGACCGAAGAACTATTTTTAAAAGAAATAGGGCCCATTACCTGACTCAAACCACCGCCCAAACAATTAATTAAACGGCCCACTAGTTAGAAAACCTAAAAACAAAAGGAAAAAGGAGGCATTGACAATTCTATTGCAGAATCGAATGGAGCTGGACAACCAACCCAGACACCATTATCACAAGCATCTCTAGAACCACTGCACCTGAGATGAACCAGCACCATACTACCCCAGCATCCAGAACTGTCACAGTCATCTGTGGTGACCACCACACCAGAGCTGGACCAGCACAACACCAGCGTTGCATAACACAAACCACCCCAGAAACTGTCACAGCCACTCCAACAACCACCCAACTAAAGTGACGGCTACAACCTCTGTTTCATTTCTATATTTTTTATTTCTTATGTTTACCTATATGTATATAATATATTTTTCTTCTACCCTGTCCATGCTTCCATCATACCCAGCAACACCATCCACCATTTTTATAAGGCAGATTGTTGACTGTCCACCAATCATTATCAATAACCACAGTTAACAACCCTACGTACTATGAACAAGCTTGATCTTACCATCTGGCTGCCACCAGCCAAGAATGTGTTATAAAAGTTGGACAGGTTAATGACCTAAAGATTTGAGGCAAAGGTCCCCCACTCAAAATAAACCCACCTTAAGGGGAAAATTCTCATTTCAACCTCTCTGAAAGACAACAACAACATAAAAATTGTATTCAGTTGAATTAATTAAGCCATTATCAATATCTTACAGGGCTAGCTTAATCTTGTTTGGAATAAAACATACACATTTCGTTGAAATGACACTGTCGTCTGATCTTCATGGTCCTTTACTTGCCAATCACATGCTCCACACGTTATACCATAAGACACCAGGTCGCTAAATATATTCACTCACCAATTCCCTCAAAATCCTAAAACGGTAAAACCCAACTCCAAACCAGGTGCTCAAAAAATCACATTCCAGAAAAACCCTATTTTCACAAATCCCACAACCCATCCACATACCTCACCCAAATCCTCGGATCTCTGACGAAATCCAAATGCAATCCTAGTGAACAAAGTTCCCTTCTTTCCCACAGTTCCAATCACAACAACTCAAACCCCACAAAATAAAACCCTAGCAGCAGCACAATCACTCTCTCGAAACCACATCAACCCCAACTCCCAAATCGAGCTCACACCAACAACCACCACAAAAAAAAACAAATTAAACCCTAAACCTAACAATTGCAGAAAGAAAGCAAAACAAGAGACGGTACATTTTTTCATCAATTGCAAGTGCAAAGAGCCAAAGAAAGAAGTGAAGTGGGGAGAAAAAAGAATAAGAGTGGAACCTGAAAAACAGCGAGAGCGACGAACTGTTCGAGCTTAAGGGTGAGCTGGTGCCAGAGCTTCTTCTGGTACAGATCCGCCAGCGAATTGTACCAATCGGCGAGCTCAGGGTGCGCGTTGCGCAGCGATTCCAAGTATTGCAGAGCAGCCATAGCGATTCACACGAGAAAAAAACCCCAAAACACGCAATAAGAAAACTGCCCTTGTATTTCTTCTCTATTTATACCCCTCTTCTTTATTTTAAAATTTTATAATTACCTTCCTTTTTTATTTTTTTTCTTATATTTTCAATCTTGCTTCTTCTCAAAGAAATGAATTGGGCATGAATTCGGTTTGCTCCACCAACGTCATTTTTCAGTTTCCGGACAATATTTTTTGACATTGCACAATTTGGGCTTTACACGGCCTAATAAGGCCCATTGGATCATAAATTTAAACCACCTAAAACTAAATGTATCAATCCAATGATAATAACACTTAATTCATTTTATATTAATTTAAATTATTATTTTTCTTCTCTATTTAAATCTACAACTTAATATATATATATATATATATATATATATATATATATATATATATAATAATCCTATCTCGGATTCCTCGTGACAATGTAGGATATGGATGCAATTATATCACAGATTCATACATACTCTTGTTATCAAGAACAAATTGTTTTTCATCAAAATCAAATTAACTATTTAAAATTTACATTTCAGTTAACTTACACAAACAAAAACTAATTTTAGTTAAAATTGATTATAAAATTATATATATATATATATATATATATATATATATATATATAACCTCAACATTATGGAGTAATTAGTTAATGGAAAATTATTAACAATTGATGTTTGGATTATATAGATAATCTACTGTGCATGTATGTTGATTTCTCTATTAACAATTCAAGTTATTTACTTTACTCTGCTGAGTGAGTTATTTAGTATAAAGCAGCCAGATCCAAATATCTTTCTTCTTAAGTCTGTAGATGATGATTACATAATCTAAACTGCAAAGAAACACTGTCATGATTCTTTGCTTCCTCACTATTCTAGAGAGGAAGTGATAGAGTCGAATTGAATCATATCATTGAGATCATCCAACCAAACAAACAACACTTCCACCAACCAAGTCATTTTAACTGTGACAACATAAAGTATCTTTATTAGCAGGTCCATTCTGACTTTGGTGGCATAATCAGTGGCAATTACTAAACCCACCATCATCAAAACCAACCCAATCTGCAACAGTTCCACCACTCCAATTAATAATAAAGAGTGCAACTAATGATATACCATGTGACTTCATTACAAAGCAAAGTTATCCATCCCACAACACTCTTCTTCTATATTAACCAGACAAGAAAGGTACAACCGCAAAAGCAAAATGGTGCAGCAAGTGAGGGTCTCACTCACATGCTTTATTCTTTTCCTCCTTCTCTTGGCCACTTCCTTCGCCTCAGTTCACTCCAGGCACACACTCATCACAGAGGATCATCCCCGTGAACAGCACAAGATTTGGCAGAGGAAGACAAGGATGAACCATGGAAGCCACCGTGGCCCCAAGAAACACCTTGTGAACCCAACAATTCAACACCCATTTCAGGCTAGTGAATTTCCTGTGTAGTTCTCTGCAAAATTATTTCTCTGTAATATGAATGACTTAAGTTCCTTCTCTCAGTGTTATTATTCATGCATACCCATTTCTCTGTAAGTCCCAAAAATTCCAATAATGTTGTTCCTGGTGATTTGTGCTAGTATCTTGCCAGAAAAACACACTCAGTAACACCTTCCAAGACTATTATTTATCTTATCTATTATATCTGTCTATTTAATATACATATATCAGATAATAGAATCAACGTTGTCTTTGGTGTTATAATTGTTAACTAATTTCAGATTTAGAGGGAAACCAAACCACTGATTTGGTGGAAACAGAATGAGCTGACCGTATGATCTGGAAATGAAATCCTGCAAATGGGTGATGGATTAGTGTTGATAAGAATGGAATTAATTGTTTTATTCACAAAAAGTTTTAAGAGTTTGAGGTCAATGCTTGGATGATCGGATTGAATAGTCGTTGCAACTAATGTTTAAGAAAGCACAACTACCGTACCCTTAATGGTATATGAACTGTATAATTTATCAAGTTATACATAGCACCTAAAAACGAATGCTTTTTCTTTTTTAACCAAGTTGGTTTTCTCTGCAAGTGCACCATGCTGACTCACCCTTTTATTATTTATTTGAAAACATATATATTTTACAATGGATGAGAGCTACGATTCACAAGTTTCATGGTCCCAATGTTGAAAATAATCAGTCCATAAGAAAAGATGTTAATGGGTTGTCAATATATTGTTTTAATTTTAATTGAGAATAAATCTTATATACAGTGTCATAAATGATTTTGGTATTCATTTTCAATTAAAATTTTATTTTTGTTGAACTAAACATTGTATTTTTAATTAAAGAATAATATAAAAAAGCATTTAGGAGTTGGAAGGAAAAAAATGAAAAATATTTTTGTTAGTTTAAAAGAAAATCAGGTATAAAAGAAGGAAAATGTTGGTTTTAAAAAATATTAATTAAATATAAATCAAATATTTATTTAATTATAAATTCATTTATATAATTATTAATAAAATAGTTTTTTAAAAGAATATATTTAAATTATATATCTTATTTTTTTAATAATATATATTTTGATATATAATTACAAAATATTTTTTATTATTAAATTATTCTTTATAAATTATTTCAAATTAGGTTAATAAAATAATATCATATTATAAATAAATATTTTAAATTATCCATTTAATTTTTATAATCACTTATATTTATGATATTTTATTAAAATAATAATTCAAAGTATATATATATATATATATATATATATATATATATGAAATCATAAATATAAAAATAAATAGTAATTTATTTAAATAAAAATAATTTTATAAAATAACATTTTTCTTACGCTTCTCACTCTTTTGAGCTTCTATAGAAGAAAGTAAATATCTTCATCACATGAACTTTTTTCTGTCACTTTCTTTATTATTGAAAAAAAATTGTTATTGTATTTGTCATTTTTCACACAACACTTTTCATGCAAACATTCGAAATCGATATGAGAACAACACTTTTTTTTTTTTTTTTTTTTGCATTTAAACTTTAGGAAGGTACAAAGGAAATTTTTAAAATTTTCAAAATCTGAAAACAAAAATGTTTCTCATGTTTTTTTTACTTTTTAAAAAAATAATAATGTCCTGAAAATAATATTTTTCAAAATTTCCCACAAAATTATTTCCACGAAGAGTTTAAAATGTGACTTTTCTTAATTATGATAAATTTTTTAATGCAAAAAAATTATCATGATACGAAGATAAAAAAATGTTTATTTTTGGAAGTGTAAGACATTATTTTTATATTTCCAAAAAAATAGATAAATACTTATAGAAATATTATGCGAACCTGAACCATTGATTAGTGTCAAATAATGTTGGCTCCATCAAATTTTGATACAAGAATTAAAAATACAATTAACAGTTTAGATTTGAGGGGAAAAAAAATACTGTTATACAATTTGTTTACATATATTTTGCCTTTCATGCAAACTAATTCTCTTGGACCACATTTTCTTAATTTCCTCTTCACAATCAAAGCAGATTTTCCATACAAAATCGTGTTCAGAACACAACTTTAACTTTTTTGCTAAATATGTCAGGATTTTGAATAGATAGTGGGGTTATTCAAGATTGTCTTAATCTTCTATCTCATTATTCACGGACAAAATATCTATCTTAAAACAAGTTAAAATTCAACTTGTCTATTATAATTTCACGTAAGATATTCAGCAAGTCTCATCACACCAAAAACTAGACAGTTTATAGTAAGTCTTTTATATATTTATCTGTGATGATATCTTTTATCGTCGTGAGATCATCCTTCGTAAAACAAATTCCAAATTTTGTCGGTTTAACCACAAAACAATCTAGTCATTGTTTGCATTTTGAGGCGGAACAATAAAAAGAACAGCCCTTGAAATGAAGATCCTTCCTTATAAATGGGAACAGGTTTTTCCAAAATATCATTCATGAGCATGGTTGTCTCATGACAAATCAGCTGATGATTTCAATCTTTTCATGGATTTTTGATACCAAAGTTTTAGAATGATGAAAGGAATATACTAAACATAGACAGTATGAACAGGTTCACAAAGCATTTCTTCATTTCTCCATTCCTCTGGTTTTAATTTCTATCATGCATGGCCTAAGTAAATTCTGGTGTTCATCAAGGGTACGCACTACAAAGAAAAGCAGAAATAAGCTCAATAATAGTGTACCCAAAGTAGAAATTTGAAGCATATTAACCAATCTGCATATAAAGCAGCTGGTGAAAATGTGCCACATTTGGCTTTATGATTATACATTTGAATATACATACACATATTTGAGCGGCATAATATCTAGAAATAGCAAAGAACAGCAAAAAGAGATGAAGGGGTATCACGTTTAAGTTGACAACAAAATACCACATTAAAAACAATACCAGTTTATATGCCTGAAGCATTACACTCTTCAAGAAGTTTTAAGAGGTTATGCTCCGGAGCACTTGCAGATGGTAGGATCATTCGATTGGACCGGGATGTCCGGGGCTTAATGCCAGCATCTTCAGATTCAAGTGTTCCCCCTTCCTTCATCATTGGCAGGTCCCCTCTTCTCCTTGCAGTAGCAGATACTCGTTCTTTCCATATTCTTCCATCCTAATATTGAAGAACAATATTTTTCAGAATCCATTAGTTTAATGAATTAAAAGACCTTGACCCTTTCCCTCCCCTTTTTTTTCCTCCTGATTCAAAAACCAGGAAAGAAAGGAAATCACGCATGTACAACCTCTCTTCTCTTTGATCAAAATACAATTCTGGTTTTCAAAAGCTTAACCCTAATTACCAACTAATAGTAGAAGGTAAAATTACTCATGTAGGTGTCTACTGATGATAATTTTTGCAAGGCCTACTTCCAACCCTTCCTGGGTCTTCAGCTTTGAAGTTAGAAACAGCTAAAGGTTTTAAAACCGTGTCTAATTACACCACATTGTTTACAAATTAAGGCAAAATACGGCTGCTCTACCACAACTATAAATTTGTCGAGGATATAAGATGAACAGGAAACTCAAAGCAAAGGCAAGTTGATTACCAAAACCACCTTACCAAGTTAAGTGGAAGCTCAGCTATCCTCTCAGGTATATTCCACATTAAAATGCATAACAACCAACAACTATGTCATATTTGTCAACTGTAGTGACACACTAATAGGTTGCAATCATATTCACATGGATGCACAGAACAACTAAAAAAGAAAAAAAATACGGAGAACTAATGTAGGAAATAACCCAAAGAATTCTTCGAAAGTCTAAATCCTATGTTTAGCAATTATATTTGTAGACAGTTGCTGGCAAGCTACAAATTAGACCAAAAGCGTTCTCTTCTTGTTAGTTTTTTTAATTAAAACTGAGTTCTGAAAAACTTCTGAAAGGTAACCTGTAGAGTTAGTTAAGTTATTAGCAAAGTTTGAGTTAGTTAATTGAGAGCTGGAATAACTAGAGAAATAAGGCATGGCACCTACAAATAGGAAGATGGCTAGAGAGTAGTAGCTAGTCAATTGAAGGGTTAGTATGGGGAGTAGGGAGAGGCCCGATCTATTGCATAGAGTAGTAGCTATTCTGCTCCCGTTTCTATTAGCTTCCCATTTGCTTGGTGCGGCAGGTGAAGGATGGGTCTATCCTAAGATCTTTAGTCTTTCTTGTGCAATAACTTTAGAGGTTTTTTGCATAAATAGAGATGCCAAAAGGATTTGGAGGTGTTCCCAGTTTGCCATAGGTTGGTTTATTTGGTCAGGTTCAACCATGGATTTACTTCGGGAAAGTAGTTCAACTAACATCTTCGTGGAGTCATGCCAAAGGTCTCTTTAAGGGGATATCTTGGGTAGATATTCAGAGAGACTGGACCGTTGTTCTACATGAGTTATGCTCTTAGCTTATGTTCTTTCCTCTTTTGCTGCAATTTTTAGCTGTAGATGATATCTTATTCTCATACATTTTACTTCTCTCTTTCTCAATAAAATTCATATTTCATAAAATAATTGTTGTAAATAGTCTTAGAAGAGTAGTTGAAATGGTAATTTTTTTTTCAAGATATTTTACTTATTATATGCTGAAACAGGTAACATGTTTGCTAATAAAAGAGGACAGCATATTTGCATCTCATTCTTGAAGCTAATAATGCAAACCAAGTTCAACATAATAATATGCAGATGTTACAAAACAAGATTTTTATGAGTTTGACAATATTTTCGTCTCACTTAATTCTAGAGGAGTAATCTTAACAAAATGTTTTCTCAAAAAGATGCTAAAAATAGTAATTCTTCCTCAAAATAAATTAAATAAAAAGCATGCCTAGTATCCAATACAATCAAATTGATTACAATGAAACATGTGCCACAGTGAGAGAAAATGATTATGGTATTGTAGCAAAACAGACACTGTGCCATCCCAAAGTTCAAATCATCTTTTTTTTTTATATACCATACGGCAAACAAATATCAATCTTACATTAAGAATAGATGGCTCTGGCAACGGGCACTGAATTGGCCTATCACTGTCAAGAGGTTCAATTGGGTGTTCAACTGGCTTAAACTCCACAGCCACTTCAATTCCATGAGAAGTGGCAGTTGCAGCACTTGCCACTGCAGCAACAGCCTCTGAGTTTGGGGGCATCACTTCCCTCTCATCCTGCAACATATGAAGTCAACGCATAATGAAACAATATAAAGATTATGCCACCAATTAAAATTTCTTAAATAGCTACATACGCATACCTAACAGAATCAACCAAAGAAAATTCTAGACCAAACTGCATAGGTCTTTCTAATTTCTCCAATCCAACAACAAAACACATAAACAATTATATTGATTATTGCACTAACGAGACAAAACAAGGTTTATAATCGTTAAGTTCATGTGATTAACCATATATCACAAAATAAAAGAACTAGGCCTAACCAGCATTTATTGGTCAATCAAAGTCCACGCCCAAAAGAAAAACAATAAAAACCATTGGATTTGGATTGCAAATAAAAGGCTCATTAGAAGGAAAAAACCTCTTACCAAAGCACTTTGCGTACGTCGGTGGACATTCCTTCCAGCAGAGAATCTCGAAAATATACCTACCATGGTTGTCTTCTCCTCAACTAAAAAAAATCAATACCCAGAAGGGAAAAAACAATTCTTTCGATGTTTGTGTGATTATCAAGCCAAAGGGTCTATTAGTTATCTATAGTTGTTGTTTGGGGAGGCAAAAAACACTTGAATCAGTTGTTGCATAAGAAGGGTCCTGATCCGGGGCAAGTATTTTGCAACCCGGAAGCTGGTGGTGTTGAAATTGGGAAGCAACAGAGAAAAGGAGAGAGGGGGTAAGGTGGAAAAGAGAGGAATGGTTTAGTTGGCGTGAATGGTGATGGTGTTGTTGGCTTTGTTGTGTTGTGCTGAGATGTGTAGGGAGTTTCTTCTTTGGGGAAGTTAATAATAATGTAATGATAATAATGCTTTGGAATCAGTCGAACAGACAGTACCAAAGAGTAAACAAGAAGAAACAATAAATAAGTAAATTAATTGAAAAAAAAATTTAAGTGCAAATAACTTTTAGAAAATGAGTGAAAATAAAATTAAATATGTGTTTAATACGAATTAATGTACAAATTAACTTGCTTATTCCAATTATATAAATTAACAAAAATAAGTATTTTTGTTTAAAAAATTGCAATGATGGAAGTTCCTCCTTGTTGTGATTCCATTATGTCCTTACATGGGTGTAGCTGTTATAATGAAATTATTTATGATTTTGTAACTTTAATAAGTTTAATCTAATTAAAACTAAGTTTTGTGGATGAAATATGTCATTAAGACGAAATTTTTCATCAAAAATATTTTATTACATTTTTTATATAAAAAATAGCCATGGATTGATTTATAAATTAGAGAGACAAAACTTACTTATATTTTTTAAATCATATTATCCGTACAAGTTATGTATTTATTTTATTGATGATTAATACAAAACATTTATTATTGTTTTTTCAAAAAAAGATTAATCATTCAGTTTTTATAATTAGATTTTTGCATATCTTTAAACCTGTGATAGTACTAATTACGTGAATTAAGTAGCACTGGAACCAATTAAAACGTACATTGGGAAGCAACTAAAACTAAAACAGACATAGGGAGAGGAGATGTTTATTCAAAGGAGGTTGATGCAGAAAAAGCATTTACATGAATTAAGAAATGCCATAGAATAAATTCATGAATAAATAAATGAGTTTTATTTGTATTTTTTTATTTATAAATTATTTGTAGAGAGTTAATGAATGGTAAAAATAATCATTTTCCGGAGAAAGGTGTCACAGTCCAGTGACGGTTGATGACTCCACCATATCCACCGCCCTAGCTGCCCTGCTTTACGCGCCTCCCTATGCCGTGATGTCAACATTCTCAATTTTTTATTGCATAAAAATACTATATAATTATCTATTTTAGAATGAGTTTATTTATTATTTTAATTTTTTATAAGAATAATTGTTTTTATTTTTTTCCGTCTAGGGATGTGTATATATTTTTTTATTGTAAAAAATATTATATAATTTTTTATAAGGGGTATGTGTGAGTAGTAAAATATCCTCTATTCTCAGTTTTGCAATCAACGTCAGTGTTCTTTTTAAACGAAGAGGTATTTTTCGTTTTGAAATTCCGTGATAATTTTATCTTAAATAAATAAAAATAAGAAAAGAGATATATATTTCTTAGTTCCCCAGTTTAAAAGTAATTTAAATTTGATTTATGTTTTTTATTTTAATATTCGAGTATTATAATTGTAAAGACAAATTGTTAATATAATATTTCCTGTTGTTTCACTAAATCTAGGTTTTAAATAATCAATAAACATATTTTAAAATATTATTCTATAATTGAGAATCACTTGCACCTATTTATAATAATAAAATGTTAAATAAATGTTATCAGCAGCTTTATTTCTTTTTTTTTCATCACTTAATATTTTGTCGTAAAGCAAATGAATACAATAATAATTTTACATTTAACTTTGAATTAGATATGTTAATTTTTTTAACTAACAATTTAGAATTGAAGAAACTAAAAAAATTATTTAAAATTTTTGGGACAAAAACAAAATTTAACTTAAATTTTTTTATATTAATAAGATATTTTAATAAAAAAAAACTTTAAGGGTGAATTTCAATGTTATTATTTTGCTTGTATATGTTATGACAATGAGTTTAACATTATTAGAACGAGGAAACAAAGTAACCTTCTCTAAAATTCATGAATTAAAAAAAGAAATAAATTGTAATTTAGAAACTAAAAAGCAAATAACTAAAATTTGAGAGGGGAAAAATATATCTGAGTCTTAAAATTATTAATGAAGTTAATTTAAACAAGCAATTTTTAAAAAAATAAAGCTAAATTATTATTCTTTAAATGAAGCGTGAAACATTTTTTAATCCAATATATAAAAACCAAAAAATTTAACCTTTAAATTCCGCTAACTTCATTCAAAAGTGTTCGAGTGTGGAAAGAAAGCCGAAGGAAGACCCTAACAAGGGTAGTGAGAGTGAGTGTGGGTTTGAGACGATGGAGGAAAGCAATGACGCATTGTTCGACGAATGGGATCACGCCATGCTCGAAGAGCTCTTTGTCCTCACTGCAAGCGCACCAAAACCAACCCCTATTCCCAACCCTTCTTCTTCTTCCTCCATCCCTCACGCGCTCCCATGCACTTCCTATCACCTTCCGCAACCGCTTCCTTCCGCTGCGATTCCCTTCCTTCCCACCGCCTCTTCCTTCTCGCCTCCGAGAGAGCTCTCTCAGAGGACCACCACTGTCCCTGTCGATTTCCATCCCAATCCCCCTTCCGACAAAGACCTCGAAATTGAACACTTAAAGGTAATATCACTAATCTCCAAATGGAATTAACTGCACGCCTCTTCCAATTTAAGGTTTTACACTTCAAACTCTGTGTCGTGTTGTTGTTTCTATACACTGTGGGTTAAATTACTAAACGCGCGACATTCGAATAAACGCTGTGTTGTTTTATTGTTTAATGGGAATTGTTCTGAGTACAGGATTGGGGAGTGGACTTTAAGTGTTTCAGAAAGTTGTGCATATAAGGAAACAAATATTATGAAGAATAACTGCAGTGTCGGGGTTAGTTTAGCTAAGTTGGAAAGATTTACAACCTGTTTATTTTGTTTTCATTTCCTGTGTTCTATTTTTTTAATTGCATAACTGCCACTTTCTCTTCCTATTTTCAAAGTTTTGTACAGAAGAAGCAAACAAATACTTTTAGGAAACATGTTCGAAACAAGTGTTAGTTTGAGTGATTACAGAACATAAATTTCTCGAAGGGCTTCAGTTTTTAGTATTGGAATTTGGAAGTGGAGGGTAATAATAGAGGAAACATAATATACCTGTTCTTTGGTTAGGTATCTTTTCAATGGGTATCTCTTGAGGTTTCTATTGGTAGTTCCCCCTCCCCCCAGTTGTGTTGTTTGTTTTGAAAGTTCCAAGTGAGGGAAAAAGGTATTTTTCTATACTGGATTGTTCCAATGATTGTTCAAATGGCTCGTGTTGATACACTTTTAGGATAGGGTTGATTGATCACTTTTAAAAATTTAAATAATGAAGGTTCACTAATTTGTTTTCTTGTACTAAACTTGGTATTGTTTGTTGGTGGCAAGAACAGAGGGAGCTGGAACATGCAACAAAGCAGATTGCAAATCTGGTATGCCTAGGCAACTATATACTCTCATTGTCTTTTGTTCTGCTTTAGGTTAAGAATCGGTTAACTGTTGGTATGTCATAATTCAATTGCATGCTTTCAGGAAAAAGAGCATGTCAAGTTAAAGAAAGAAAGAGACAAGAAAGAAGATAAACCCAAATTCGTATCTTCTAGGAATGAAGAAGAAAGTTTTTGCACTAAATGTTCAAAAACAAAGATTATAAACAAGTGAGTCAATTTATTAGTTTGTTTTACACGATGTTCTAATTGTGTGGTACTAGGACAGAAAGTGTCCCCTTTCCGTTTGCATTATTAACCAACAAGAAAGCTTGCAGTTTAACTCTGTAATATATTTCATCTTTATACCATTGTTGCGTACATATACTGAATCATATCATGAGGTAGAAGCCACTGAAAATGAAATACTAGGATGAAAAAGGGGGCATTGACAATCTGTTATGAAGTTTATGAGCTGAAGCTGAAAGTAACAACTGTTGGAGTAACTGTTGGTGAATACGTGCCTATCTCTGTATGTTTTACTTATGTAATATATATAGTCATTGGTGACAATGACCAGAGCTTGTTGTATAAAGTCATTGCAAAATTGTGTCTTGCTTTAGTAATTAAATTGCTTGAGAAATAGAATAGTCTAGACTGAGTTTAAGCCATCAGCAGAAGGGTCAAGGTATAGCATGACAAATAACTATCCAGTGTAACATATCAGGCCAGAGATTGTCTTTAATTTATTTTTTTTAATCTTCACTCACTTTAATGTAATGTGGCATTACATGTGGCATGAAGTTATTATTAACCAGGGGAAAAAATTGCAGGGATTTTGGAACTCTTGCTCCCAATTGTCATAAAATCTCTTCAAAATTTCATAATGGACTATCTTCCAACGATCCAATTGGTGAGACATGAGAAAAATCTCTTTCATTTAAAAGAATTATCTGTTCACTTACATATTAACATCCTTGACTTGCTTTTGTTGTATGCCAGTTGAAAGTACTTTTAAAGTCAAGGGAGTTAAAACGGACATAGTTAGTCATCAAGAAGCCCTAGGTACTCCAAGTGATCTGCCTGCTTATCTTGATCTCTCCCAGAAGTTTCTGGCAATATGGGGATCTCCAACTAAAAAGATGGGACATAATTTGATATCCAAGTTGCTTGTGGGTTGTCAAAGAGATTTTCATATTCTCTTTGGCTGCATGAATATGAGTCTGCCCTCTGAAATAACAAGAGAATTATTTTCAGATTTAAGCTCTTCGGGAGTAGCTTTGCATTACCTCAAGGATCGTTTTCATACTCCAGAGGCAGCAAAGATGTCAAATCTCTACCTTGCATTAACAAAGGTATTAGTTCAACTCTCCATTTTTATGCATCTTTCTGTAGAACTCACATCTGAAGCTGTGCATTTCTGATCCAGTAGAAATTTCCTGACATGAAATGGTAGTTTGGTTTGAAGTAGTCACTAGTGAGTGACTTTCACTATATCTTTGTTTTTATCTTTTCCTGAATCTTTGGACTGGTTCCTTTCATGGTAACATATTGGATATGTTAGCCCTTGGTATTAAGCTGGTTATATAGTTCAATCATGTTAGTTGAGATTATATATCACCCAGTTATTGATGTGGTACAGATAGCTGATGGAACAGATGTTTTGGAAACTTTAATTGAACCACTGGTTGATCTCTGTGGTATGGAAAATGTAAGTACTATTATACTGAATTTATGAATTAATGTTTTGTTTTCCAACTGCTCGAAAGCTTATATTACTATTACATGTTGGTAATCCATTTTACTTATTAAGTAGTAGGTCTACAGAAATATGATTTGATAGGTATTGTAATGGATCCTACAGGTTCCTAAGGATCCAATATTTTCTTCGTAAGTAAAAGTAATAATTAATACTCATAGTTTAGGAACCAATAATGGAAATAAAAAAGAAAGAATTTTTTTTATAGAATTGAATGGAAAGAACTGAAAATAGGAGATCTCTGCTTCAAAGGTTTCCCATTCACAAAGAATTTCTCTTTTGAGGAAATGTTCAATGTACAAAATGATACAAGACATGATGAATCCTTTCCCCTTACGCTCTCCTATCTATTTAACTCCCTAACTGGCTAACTAACTTCTCCAACTGTTACTAATTTGCCATTCCATCTCTCCTAACTCCAAATTGCTAACGCAGGCAATATGTATTGGATTTCAAGGAGCAGATTCATAGAACAGTTTGCTCATTGTAGTTACTGTAAGATGCATGGGATATCAAATTTCAAAGAAGCTCTTGATTCTTGAATGATCTTCGACGACCAATTCAATTGCAATCCTGAGGCCCAATAGTTTACAAGTCCAAAAACTTATTTGTACTGTTTGAAACCTTGAATGGTGTATATTGAGCTTGTGAAGAGTTGGAAATCATAAATATACACCCGCCCTTGGTCTAAAAAATTGTTAGAAAGATAGGAAAGAGACAGTAGGCACAGTTAAATCAGATAGTTAGGGCAGTTAGAGAGGTTATCCAATGAGAGGGGATCAATTACAGAAACATGGGAAATAAGCGGGGAAGGAAAATATTTGTTGAGATAATTAGAATGTTTGTATGAACCAGGGAAACCCATTGTGAAGCGGAAGCCCATGGAGAACACTTTCTTCTTGTCTCCGTTGTTTAATCAATTTCTCATTCTCTTTCCTGGGTTGTAAAAGAAATTAATAACAACTCCCCTCACCATAAAGTTTCAAATATTTGAGCCTTGTATTCCATATATGTGGCATAGATTAAAGTTGTGATATATCTGGTTTCTAGAACCAAGTTCTGACTGTATTATATCCATACCAAATTGTATCATAATGGACATTTTTGCAATGCTGTTGGCTTGCTGTACCTAACTACTCGTGAGTTTTGATTCCTCTAAAATGATTTATTTATTTATTTAGGGCTTATTGAGTGGTCTTTGGCTCATGTCAGTTTATGCTTTGATGATATTCTAAAATTGAAAGTCTAGTGTGGGGTTTATAAGGGCTTGGGTTTGCCAACTACAATGGCTAGATTTGTGGTGTGGTTCTACCAAGGTTCTTATCTCCTTATGCTTGAAAGATACCATACTGGTTTCTCAAGTTTGTGAAACTAATTTAGTCCGGTTCTTGTTCTCTATTTTATAATCCATAAACCTTTACTGACAAAGTTCTGCCTCTTGCATAGGTTGTTATTGTCCACAGCTCTCTATGTGTACTGCATATGCTTCTGAAGCTCATATTGGAATTGGAAAATAATGTTGGAAAGAGGTATGCATTATGTGGATGATGTTTTCCCTTGTTTTTGTCAGCTTTGTGTTCACTGTGTATCCCTTATCCTAAGGTTCCAATTTAAATTGGTCCCTTTTCTCTTTCTGAAGTCATGATATTTATATTATATTTGAATTAACAAGTCTATTTGATCCTGTTAGTTGTGATCAACTGCCCTGGTATGTGTTTGATACCTAATATGAAAACACGAGAAAATAAAATATCTTCTCAAGCATGTCAAACTTACCCTATAATTTAACTATTTGTTAATTGTAAATGTGTATGCCCTTGTGCATATGTATACGTAATACTATGATCAAGAAACTAATGCTTATTGTGTGCTCAGTGGGTGGAATGATGTACCTGGACCTGGTTTGGTTGTTCTTTTGGGTGTAGAGGGGCTTTGGTAACTTGGGGAGGGAAATCAGTGAATGAAGTGTGATCGGCATTATTGTTGTTGATTTGCTTAAAATGCTTTGTTGTAGTAAACTATTCTTTATTATGCCACTTTCAGAAAATACTGCTTTGCCTTTACGATGTAGAATATATCTTTTCTGTATGTGATTTCACTTTTTCTTTCTTTCCTTGTTGCAATTCCTGTTCTTATGAACTTATGATTTGATCTTTCCAGTGCACTCTGCTCAGGGACAATGTCTTCATTGAAGGCCTTTGCATTGGGAAGGACCTTGTCTCTGGTGTAAAAGATGGAAATCTTGTCAATGAAGAAATAAGCAAAAAAGCGTGCCAGAACCATCAAAATTCGTTACAACCTCATGTGAATTGGGTATATCTTTTTGAGATAATGCATCAAATTTCCATGAGGATCACAGAAGAAAGAGTGCGAGTGGAGGCAGTATCTATTATGGAACTGCTTTTCCTGAGAAGTAATGCTTACTTTGAGAGGGAGCAGTAAGTTTCTAAGATCCTGTTTTACTTTAGAAATTTGACTTCTGAAGATGTCATGTTCATGTCAAGAAAAATTTGTTGAACACAGGTTTAGCCAGAAAATAGTTTTTAAGACTATTTCGGAATTGCTTAAGAAGGATGCTGGGCTGTGTGTGAAGAAACACGCTCTAAGACTTCTATACTTGGTTCTGAATTGTAAGTTTCCTCTGCTAACCAATTTATCTTTTTTTTCTTTTTGCATTCAGTGCTACGTAATTTGATTCTAATTGCTATATATATAGACTTCATATCTCCCTTGTGTCTTTTCTTGTAGTTCTGTAGGAATGCAATGGTTTTGCAATAAAATAAATAATTTACTGAAAAGTTGTTATTATTTTTTATTATTTGTTGAATCAAGACTTACAATGTAGATATCGGTCTGCTTGAATGAGATTATTCTGGACTACTCCTTTTAATAGTTTCTTCTAGTAGCTAGTTTAAGAACATGTGAATTTATTCACAAATTTGCTAACATCGGCAACTATATTGCTTCCTTTTGTTTCTTGTTACAAGGTTGGGATGGAGGTTTGGAATTTTATTCCCTTGCATCAATTTTATTTAATCAAATTATTGACAAACTGACTGATAATTGTCAAATACCCAAATACCCGAGCTAATGTATGAACTCAAACAATCTTATTAGTTTGATTTTCCATGTTTTAACATCTGACTTGTAAAGCTTACAAAGTAAGTTCCAGCTACTGAAACTACCATCAACCAACCTCTACAGCTTTCTATATTGAAAACATGACAGATCCCTCCCCCCTCTGACTAACTACGACTACTAGGAGTTTGTCACTCATCAAAAACACCTTTGACCTTGAGAATAAGGTGGCTTTTTAGTGGTTAGGTGATGGTGATATTAATAGATCAAGCCCATAATGACTAAGTTCTATTAAAGGAGTGTGAGAAGAGAAGCAGAGGAGATTAATTTTTTGAAAGAGTCTGTCACTGAGATTTTTGTAATTATGTTTGTTAGTATAACAGTGATAATAAATAGAAGTGAGGAATGGGTGGGACATCACTTTTGTTACAAGGGAGCATTTTGTAGAGTTCTGAATTCTCTGAAATACTCATAGTTTGTATCTCTAGCTCAGGTGACTTGGTGCTGGGAAGTTTTTTTATTCATTAACATTTTTCTCTCTACCACTTTCTATCATTACTGCTCTTATCCACTTTCCCAATCTTTGCCCCATATTGTGCTATTGAGCTTTTATACTCGTTGATCCTGAACTAAAATCTAGCATAAGCTCTTATAAACAATAGAAGGATGTGGTATTTCTAAAATAAATTCAATACCATGTTGCTTTAACACGAGGTCTGATACTTATTGAACTAAGGATGTTGTGCCGCATGCCTTGAACCTCCACATTCCTAACTTCTTGGGATATCTAATTTAGTTCTCTAGTTTAAAATTCAGTTAATATCTGTTTGTATCTGATGTGCATTCCATGCAGATCCTAACTTCTCTCTATGTATTTTTTAACTTTTATTTTCACGTATTCTAGGTCCAAAACTGTTGGCTGCTTTCTGCTGTGGTTGCAGAGAGGGGGGTGATAGCAATGCTATGGATGAGAATGAATCGACTTCGGATTTCCAAAATTTTAAAATCATCCTTCAAGGATTGTCTGATTGTGTAGCCTCTCATAGAGGTGGTTTACTGGTATGTTTGCTATCAATGATAATACTGGCCATAATTCTGTAATTTGACATATCAATTGTGATGTGATTAATTTATTATGAATTTTGTTGGATAGCACATGTATTGTTCAAAATTAAAGAGATTGTGCAGTTGCCTGTGGAAAACATCACTAACTCATCAAAGAGATGCCTTGTGGATTTTTTTGAGGGGTTCAAATTGAAGATAGTTTATAGAATAAAGGAGTAACATGAACATAAGTGAAAAGTGTAGCCATCTAAATTTCCTTTTACATGTACGTTTCCACTGTTCATTCAACAATTATGTAAATAAATATAATCTTCTGGAACTTTTGGCACAAAATATTAAGATTAAAGCTTTCTTATTCTCCTCAATAATAGGGATGTTGTCAAACGATTTACTTCAGTTTGGGGAAAAGCAAAAACAAGTTCATATGTTATATATTTGAAAATATTATCTTCCTAAAATTTAGGTCATTGTAATTTCAGGAATTGAAAGTAAGCAGAAATGTGATTCTTGTGTTGGCATTCCTTGCATCATCTGGACAACCGGGTTTTGAAATTTTTGTTGGTCATAGGCTCTCTAGTAGAGGAAACTATCTTTTGTTGATTTTGCAATTACTGGTATCAGAGATGGATTTTGAAGCTGGATCATATGAGCAGCAGCCAGAAATTTTCAGGGAGAGGTAATAAAACTGATTGCCTAGATACAGTCATAAATTCTTCATTTTTTACTTATCCTTCTTCAGATAATGTAAAGTATTTGTAAAATTGTACTTTACAGTTGTTTCATATGCTATTTTAATGTGTGCAATGTAGTCTTGATTTTCTGTGACTCATTCTGATCATTAATTGTCACTGTCAGGACATTTTTAATACGGGAGATATTGATATTACTTAACAGACTAGTGTCGAGTCCTTCGTATTCTGCCACTGTCTTGCGCGGTTTAACGACTACTAGGGATATGGCTGGTTTGACAATTGACGTTGCAAGCAGATTATCTCGGAAAGGAAAGAAAAATGAGCGGCAGGACAGCATGGTGAAGCATATAAGAGAAACTGAAATCGTTGACCTTGCTCGCCTCTTCAAGAAAAGGGTATTCACATATTTAGGTGATGACATATCGTGAAGTCTCCTCTTCCATTGGTCACTTCTTGCGCATATGCACTACTCAGGTAGGAACTGCTTCTGAAATGCTGCACAGCACCAAATGGACGCTGCTCCTTTTTTGACAAGTTTCAAGAGAAATATGTTCCTTATTCTAAATTTATGTAATTGAAAAAGGTATTATTTAGTGCTCCAGAATGTGGTATCTGAGCAATGCCAGGTTTGAGAAAACATTGTCCCATTTTTATTTTTTTAATTGTGACGTACCATTTTTGTCGAAATTTTATTTCCCTTTTATTGGATCATTCCACTCTATCAATTTTTTTCCCTTTATTAGCTAAATTGACTAAATTTTTTATGACTATTCAATTGCTTTTATTTTTAATTTGATACATTGCGGAAAGGGCAAGATGAGAGAGGATGAGTAGACTTACGGTGTAAATATTTAACATTATACGCTCGGAAAATGATCATGTAACTAAATTACATAATGAGACTACGCAGGAATGAAATTATTAAATGAAAGTATATTATTAGCATTTAGATTATATAGGTAAAATAAATATCATTGCGAAATTACTTCCGTCATATATATTATGAATTTAATTTAACATTGTATTATAACATGGTTCTAGTTTATCTTTTTATTTTTATAATTTTTTTGCAATTATAATGTCACTGTTATATTTGTTTCCTTTAAACTAATATATTTTCGCATCTCTTTACACAAATATCATAATTATTTTCTAATGTAAATCATAATTTTACAAATTAAAATCATAATGACTCTCTAATAAAACATCGATTCATATATGAATTTTTAATTCTTAAATTATTTTTATTTTATATTTCAAGACGACTAGCTTTGAAATAAAAAAAATATTCATAAATAAACTAACTTCTATAAATTAAACCAAATTATATATTCTATAAATAGAAAGTTTTAATTTAACATTTTTAAAATAGAATACAATTTCGTTGATCCGCGCTAGTACGAGCTTTGGTTGTATTTGAAAAACCAAACTGAAACCTAATAGAGCGAACCAGGCAGAAAAAATGGATCTATTTTCCCTACTTAGTCTGCTGAATCAAGGTAATGGAAATAAAAAGTTTTAGTTGTCTTCTATCTGGATTGAGTTCATCGAGGTACTTTTGTACAACTTCTCTAGTGCTTTTTTGTTTTTAATTTTTTCTCATTCACTGCTAAGCACAGTTATATTAATTTTCAGTTACATTGATGATAAGATTATCTTGTAATTGGTACAACCGATGATAACACATTATTTCTGTAATCATAAAAAAAAGAATCGAATCTGAATATGTAATAGAGGAAGAATTATATTATACAATTAGTCTATTCAACAATGGTGGTGATGCTGTTTATTTACAGTGATCAAATTTCAACAAAGGTGAACAAAAACCTACACCTTTATTTAGAGCACTGACTTCTATACAGGAAATGAGTATGCTCAAACATTTAGGTAATGTACAATGTACAGAAATTGTTATAATTTCTCGTGTGCTTTTAATGTTGTTGTCTAATCAGAATTGAAATATCACCTTAATAACCCACACAGTATCATAAATGTGGACATAGATTATTAAACTGAAATTCCAATTCTGATTCAAATTCAACGCACACCCTAGAATCTTACCAATTATTCCACAATTTAGAGCTACACTTTCCACTGAATACGAGGTTCATGACTTCTCATGACAGTGCCAGATCTAGCAGAACAATCTCTGCTGAAACTGTCTAGAGCATAAACATCCCAACCTCCATCTCTCCAGTAGGTAGAATAAACATCTGGTATATGTAAAACTTTACAGTGATCTTTTCCTGGACCATGTGGACATATTGTCTTCATCAGTTCATCTGGCATATCGAAAAACTCAAGGACTTTCAGCTTAGTCAAATTCTCAATGCCTGACGGAATCTTCTTCAACAATTCACAACGCCCTATGCTCAGCCTTTCTAGACAAGGCATTGCATCCTTCTCCACTGTCACCTGTTTGAGTCCATCAAATTTGTCGATACCTAAAACTTTGAGCTTCTTGAACTTTCCACACATAAAATGCAAAGTGTCACCATTATAAACTTGAAGTAGTTCTAGATGTGCAAGGTTTGGCAGATCCTGAAGATACACTAGAGGATCATAGTTTAAACAGCTCCATTTCAGAAATAACCTGGCCAGGCCATGAAGAGACTGTATCCAACTTGGTAACTCTTGTAGACGCCCTGACAAATACAAGCGTTGAAGAAACGGAGGGGGTGAACAAAGGAATGTCAGATCAATGACTTTATTCTCGCCCTCAGAAGCAACAGAGAGAGCATGAAGATTAGTTAATCTCTCAATGGACAAACAGAAATCCATTGCATCTTCCTCTCTAAGTTTCAAGATTCCTAACCTTCTTAGCTGAGTTAGCTCCCCTAACTGCCTTATTATCATTCCACGGTCTTGGTTTGCCTCCACAAAACAAAGCTTCTGCAATGACTTTAAATTTCCTATTTCAGTGGGGGCCTTAAGACCATGTTTGGAGTGAAACTGGGCATGGCCTTTGACTTTAAACTGATACACAAGGAGATGGCGTAGCTTTTGAATCTTTAGAATATCTACAGGCAATTCTCTGACAGAAGTCCCCTTAAGATCTAGCGTTTCTAGATTATGCAACTTCCCTATTATGTGACCTGGAACCATTTTCACCTTTGTGTTCCTTAAGCTTAGATATCTTAAATGATATAGATCAATAACTACTAGTGGAAACTTCTTCAAAGGTGCATCTTGATAATCTAAAACACTAAGCAGTTTAAAACCACTTGGGAACAGTTTACCGAGGGATACAAGTTCTCCAACCCCAAAAATTAAAAGAGAACGGAGTTGAGAGACAGACCTATGTTGTTGCCAATATGGTAATATGCCGTGCACTGAAAGCCGCCGAATCTTTTCAGGCCATGCCCCGCTTTGTTCTTTGACTATGGATGCAAAGTTTTGGTCCTTAGACTTCAAAACAATGATCTCCCGTAGAAGATCATGGATTCGCACAGTTTTGACCCTTCCATCAGATGTTGTCCCTGCTACTTGTATTAAATTTCTGTTCAGGAGCTCCTTCAGATAATCATCTGCAACATCTTCCTTTGTTTTTCCTTCTTTGGCTTCAATAAATCCTTCTGCTATCCATAAGCGAATCAATCTCATGCGCTGAATCAGATAGTCCTGGGGAAAGATGCTTAAGTACAAGAAACAGTATTTCAAATGGTAAGGTAAATCATTAAAACTGAGATTGAGTACAGTTTTAAAACTATCAAGTTTGCCATTGCCGTGAATTTCAGCTCCAAGAGTACGGCAAATCATATCCCACTCATCAATCCTGCGCTTGTCTTTTGTAGCCAGGACACCACTGATTGCCACGATTGCAAGGGGAAGACCCTCACATTTTCTTAAGATGTATTTACAGATGTCAATCAAATATGAGGGACATGAATCACCACGAAAGGTGTTCCTACAAAATAGATCCCAAGCCTCATCTTCTTTCAAGGGTTGCAAGTTATACGCCTTACCATTGGATTCTACGCTGGAAGTAAAGGCTAAATCAGATCTGCGAGTGGTTATCATGATCCTGCTGCAACAATTATTGTTTGGCAATGCATATTTGACAGCTTCCCATTCATACATATGCCACACATCACCAAATACCACTAGATACCTCTTCCCCTGCAGCAATTCTTTGATAATCATCTTCAGCCTATCACTACACATGCTTTCCATCCCCTCTGGAATTGGTCGCCTTATTTCAGAAAAGAGCTTCTGGGCTAAGTCTTTTAGAAGCTCCTCAATTTTACAAGATTGAGAAACAGTCACCCAAACACAGGCTTTGAAGTGTTTTCTTACTTCTGTATCATCGTATACTTTCTTCACCAAAGTAGTTTTCCCCATCCCTCCCATTCCCGTAACAGAAATCACACTTCGTCCAGGACAACCATTGATTAACCACTCTATCAACTTCTTTTTTGGCCTGTCTATGCCCACTAGATCAGTGTTTTCCAGGAGAAGGGCATCTCCTCGTTGATCATGCCATGTGTTACCTGTTTCAGAATATGTTTATTGTACTAGTCTTGTAGGTGATGTAAATAGCATACGAAGTATACTTCAATTGTTAGAATGCAATTTGCTTACTACCACTTGAAAATAGCTCAGAAAGAAATGGTGTGACTAGTGTGATAAATACTTCGATTTGGTCAGCAGCAATTTAATGATTACTACCATAGTAGCATGTTTGATACCATATTTCAGATGTAGTTTTTCACGTTTAATAATAAGCTAATAGTTATAGCTTGCTCATCAAATTGGATTCTTTACTTCACAACACGTTTCAAAACTTTCACTACAACTATTGATACTGATCTATCTAGAACACAAATAATAGCATAATGGAGTGGCTCCCCTGTACATGACCATTAGGATATTCATCTCTTAAGCTTGAATAGAGTCTTTGCAGTTAATAGTACCTCTAGTTATGGAATTTGAAGCCTCTGAAGAACTGTCCAGTTTACTGAGGAATCTCTTACGATTTGAAGAAATAGTTTTCATACGTGAGTTTATGCTTTTTAACTCATGAGCAATCCGATAGCGTGCTTTCATATTCCTGATACTGAGATAAATAGAGAATCCATTTGTATGGTTATGTACCTGGACAAGTTCCAATTCATCAAGAAGATCTTCAGCCTCATGAACAACATCTCTGACTTGCTTAACCCAAACTTTAAGTTCCTCATCACTCTCTTCTAATGCATCTGCAGCCCTTAAGAAGGCTCTTATCAGCTCCAACTGTCCTTTTAGGAATATCACTTCTGCTTGAACCCCTGTGAACAATTTCAACTTATTCTCAAAAACAGGTGCAAGCCTTTCCAGAAGGAAACCCACTGCACTCTCAGCCATGAACTCTGTGCATTTCTACAGCAACTAGTGGGAAAAACTTGGTTTCTGAAAGTGCCTTGCTTTTGAAGTTTCTTATAATATCGATTTATTCAATCCGTTGGATGATTTACAAATAAGACAGAAGAATTTTTTCCCACAAAAATTGAGATATGACAGCATCACAAGGAGAAAACTAATTACGTGTCTGAAAATGAAACCCAAAAAAATTTGCAAGTAAAGCCTAAAAGTTATCTTAGAATATGTCAAGTTCAGTTAAAAGCTTAAAAAGTTATCTTAAAATATATCAAGTTCAGTTAAAAGCTTAAAAATTTAACTTAAAATATGCATCAACAGAAAAAATCAATATATAAAATTGTTGACTTCATTTTAATTCACATAAATAAAAAAGCTTGTTGAAAAATTAGTTAATACTCTTTGATATGTATATATATATATATATATATATATATATATATATATATATATATATATATATATATATATATATATATATATACATCGTATTAATTTCAATGGTCCATTATTGTTGGGACGGTGGGAAAACTTGCAGAAAAGTATAGGATAGATAAACATGATTTAATTAAAGATTAAGGGTATATTTTTACAGGAAAGTATAGGATAGATAAACATTATTTAATTAAAGATTAAGGACATATTTTTGGAAAATATTGCACTAATTTTTGGCTTTTACTTTTTCATAAATTTATTTCAAATTTACCAATACTTCAATTCTTGAAAAATTGTTTTTAATCTTTTTTTATATTTAAATTTGAATTTTAATTATTTTTTATTTTATCAGAATTGATAAAATGATTAAATGTAATTTTTATTATACTTTATATTTAAATTTGATATTTAATAATATTTTGTTATAGAGTTGATTAAATAATTAAATTCATATTTTACGTTTGATGATTAATTTGTTAAGTTTTGACAATTAGGAGAAAAATAATTTAAAAAATATATAAAAATAAAAAACCTATTTAACTCTAAGTAGAAATAGGGAAAGTATTGAATGCAAACTTTTAGAGGTGAGGTCTGAATTCATAAGCAATTTTTTTATAAACAATTAAATGATTAACTTAGACACCGCTATGTACCAATATGTTAATTATAACAGCAAAACACAACGTGATTTAGGGGCTAAAATTAGAACCATAAGGATATGCTGAAGCACCTAAGAAGCAAGAAATCTTTGCAGATTTTTTTCTTGGGAAAATATGAATACAATGATACACCTCAATCACACTCAGAAGGTGATTTACATAGAAATTGTATATAAATTGGCACTTTGGGCTTTCCTTCGGCTGAATACAGTGGGCACTGGGATGGTGTCATGTTGTGCACATAATGGGTTCCATGTTTGACTACAATAAGAATATTGCAACATGTTCAATGAATTCCAAGAGCATTCACATTTTTAATGTAGACTGAGTGGAAAAATAATGAATTCAGCAAATTGGCTTTTAGAAGCAAAGTCAAATACACTATAGTCTCCAGTATCTGTGCCACATATCTAGGTATTTTTTCCATCCACACGCGGAATAGTGATGGATATGGTATCTTTTTAATACCTTGAGTGTATTGTGGAAACTTTGAGAAGTGCATTGAAAACGTCCTTGTTGATGCAATTTACAGAGGGACTAGGAGTTTTATGTGTTGAGTACCCAGTACGCAATGCCTCCTACAATTGAAAGCAATTTTCGAACATTTTCCTTATAAAAAAAAGGGGTCTCATTTTCTAAGCAAGCTTGAGTTCTGAATGCTGAAAAATCAACCAAGCAAGTTAAAACACTCACAAGCAGGTTTTTGTCTATTTTCGTCTTTCCAAGAGCTGAATTTTTTATTAATCAGAAGTTATTAGAATCGATAATTGTCTTGAGTAGGACTTCTCTGCTAAAATTTTATACTGAGCCTTTCCTGTGTTATATTAACATCTAGAAACTCAGTACCAAAAAAGTCCAATAGAGAAATCAAATTGAATATGCTTTCTACGTAACACTTTTACAACAAGTGGTTAATATACCTTCCTTTATTGCCACCCAAAATAACGTTTTAATGATAATTCCAACAAGTAAATAGGAATTCCAACAAGTGGTTAATATTCCTTTGTCCAGAAAATGCAATTTGAGAGCCTATTCAAGAATTTCTCACCAAATTTCCTAATTTATACCTTGAGGACAAGGTATTTATTAAAGGAGGGCACGATGTTATGAATCAAAATAAGAATGATGACTCAATGAACTCGAAAGATTATTGTGAGAAGGATAATCCAATTATACAAATGTAATAGAATCAAGTCCAAGTATCTAGAAGACTATGTTACCAATTAGTTGGGAAAGGGTACACAATAATGTAAGCTTGGGTGCAAGATAGTATTTCTCTTTGGGTTGTTAGGATATATGCTAGATTTGATTCTTTGAAGAGTGGTGATGTGTCTTTATGTCGTTAGACAAAACCCTTGTTATATGTATGTGAATATTTCCATTCAATAAGACAAAAGGAATATTTATGTTTTTTCTTTTCTTCTATCTTACTTGGAGGCAACCTTCCTTCGAAGGAAAAATCTTACATTTTGCTGCTCTCTTTAAGAGTCAATGAATCATGGCAGGATCATCCAAATGCAATGATAAGTTTGAAGCAATTATTAACTAGCTTTTGGTGAATCAACAAACTTTTCAAGAGGAAATAGCAACCACATGACCAATCTGGAAGCATAGGTCATCGCTCACTACAACACTGACCTAAAATATCCAACTCATCTCCTTATCATAGTTATTAGCTTAGCCAAGTTCCAAGAGGAGAAATTTGCAAAAGCTGCACCCTTTATTTGTTCCTCACGTTTCAGACCAATGGCCTCAAAATTAGTTATAACTGCAAATTTTAACAGTTTTCCTCCATAAAAAAAGCTCAGTTCCCTTAATCACAAAGACTTCCTTTCCTCCAAAATCTAGCCCAAACACAAACCCCCCACCCATTAAACGACTCTTTGTTGTTGAACTACAAAATTGAAAGGAGAGTTGTTTATGTTACTATTGTGATGAGAAGTACAAACTTGGTCACAAATGTAAGAGACTATTTCTTTTGTTGATTATTGTACCTGAAAATGAAGAGGAGGATTTGACTTATTTATTACAATATGAAACTCAAGCTCAAATTAACCTACTTGATCCACCAAATAACATTGCAACCCAAATTAGTTTTTGTGCCTTGTTGAGCCACTCGATTATGCGAACATTATGTGTTTTGTGCCACATCAATTCCTTGTTTGTTGTCATTTTAATGGATAGTGAGAGCACTTACAATCATGGTTATTAAACTCACGAGTCAACTCGTAGACTCGAACGAGTTAACAAGTCAAGTGATCAGTCACGAGTTAACTCATAAATAACCTCATTTTATAGTAGATTCGGAGTCAACCTCGATGAACTCTGAGTAAACTCGCGAGTCAAAGGGGGTCACCGAGTTTGAAGGATCAAATATCGCATTCCTTATCTCTTCTCATTGTTCGTCGTTGCACTGATTGTCATCGTCGGTGGTCGTCGTCATAGTGTTCACTATTGATCGCGTGGTGGTCACGTGTTGGTCACGCAGTTGTTGTGCATTGATCGCCCCTCTCGTTGCCTCTCTCACAAGTTAGATTGAGGAAATTTAGGGATTTTTTTTTAATTTTGATTATTCTATTGGACAGATTTAACTGATTTTTACTTTTTTATTTTAGATATTTTAGATATGAATATTGAAATTGAAAATGTCTGAAATTGGTTCTAATTCTTCTAAGACAATATAATTACATCCTCACTTCCACCTAGAAGTAAAAATACACTAGGAAGTAGAATAAATATTGGGTGAAAACATGAGATAGATGTTTTAGGCAATGGAAAAAAAGTGAAACATAATTATTGCTCAAAGATATTCAACGGAGAAATTTTTAGATTTAAGCATCATCTTACTTGAACTAGATATGATTCTAAACCTTGTGCTTTGGTACTAGAGAAATTAAAATTTTAATGATAAAAGTTGTGGTAGAAGATAAGGATGTTTCAATGAAGAGAAGGTTGAATAGTATTGAAGAGATTGATGATGAACCAAGTGAACAAGTGAAAGTAGTAAGATACTTAAAAATAAAGGAAAGGTAATAAATCTAGTGATGGAGTTCAAACTACTCTAAATCAATTATACAAGAAATGTAATGAGGAAAAAGTAGATGCTCAAGTTGTTGAAATTTTCTCCCATTCAATGATATTAGAAATCCAACTTTTGCGAAAATGTGAGATGATTGGGATATATGATATTGTCTATAAACATCCATCTTATCATGATGTTAGGGAGAAACTTATAAATCAAGCAGTGGAAAAAACTGATGTAATTCTTTAAGAGTATAGGGATGAGTGGAAAAGAATAAGTTGTACAATTATGTTTGATGGGTGGATAGATAAAAAAAAGGTGTTCAATTTGTAACTTTTTGGTGAGCAGTCCTAAAAAGGTTGTGTTTCTTTATTTATTGGATACCTGAGACATCTAAAAGATTATAGATAAGGCATTTAAGATGTTAGATGATACAACGGAATTTGTTGGAGAAGATAACGTAATGCAGGTGGTTACTAGTAATTCTAAAAATTTCAAGGCAATTGGAGAATTGTTAATGCAAAAACAAAAGCATTTATATTGGACACCATATACTGCCTATTGTATTGATTTAATCTTTAAAGATTTTGAGAAACATTCGAAGGTCCACCAAATAATTATCAAGAACGAAAGAAGGATCACTAACTATATTTATGGTAGAACAATGTTAATTAGTATAATAAAGAAGTTCACAAACGGAAGTTACTTGATAAGGCCTGATATGACTAGATTTGGTAAAACTTATTTGATTCTAGCTTGTCTTCATAAATTAAAACCATCATTGATGAGCATGTTTAGTTTTCAAGAGTGGAAAACAAACAAATTTGGGACCTCACAAGAGGGGAGAAAAGTTGAGAACATTCAATTAGTTGCTTTTGGAATAATGTAACTACATGCCTAAAAGTTGTTATCCCTCTTATGGTGGTCCTTCGATTGGTGGATTCATATACAAAACCTGCAATTGGTTTCATATATGAAGAGATGAATTGTACAAAGGAGAATATTAAGAACAACTTCAATAATATTAAAAAAAAGTAAAAATTTTAAACCTTATATCATTTAGAATTTAATTACTTAATTTGTAATCAATTTCTAATATAACAAAATTGGTATTTTTGTAGCTATAAGCTTGTTTGGAAAATCATTGATAAGAAGTGGAATAATAAACTCCATATGCCTTTAATTGCAACAACTTATTACCTTAATCCCATTTTCATTATGAGCATAATTTTAGAAATGATTATCATGAGGTGAAAGGAGAGTTGTATCAATGCATGCAAAGATTAATTAGTGATGCTACATAAAGGAAAAATATCAATTTACAACTAATTGACCTTCATTATGCAAAACAATTCTTTTTTCTATAAAAGATGGAAAGGATGGTAGGAAAGCTAATGATGTAAGATGTTTGAGAATGGAACTCCAGAGTTGAAAAAGTTTATTATTCAAATTTTGATATTGACTTGTAACTCTTTTATTCAAATTTTGATATTGACTTGTAACTCTTCTGGGTGCAAGCATAATTGGAATTCATTTGAAATAGTAATTCCAGTTTATGTAATTTTTTTTTAATTACCTTGATTTGGTTTTTATAAAAATTGATTCTTCAATTATAGAATCATACAAAATAAAGAAATTGTTTGTACTAGAAAAAAATTAAATGATTTGATTTATGTCTTGCATAACTTGGAGTTGAAAAATAAACAAATTAAGAAAAATATTACCCTCCTATTTGATGATCTTAAGTCAGATGATGAATGAATAATTAAAGAGAAAGATAAAGTTAACGTTGAATAAACTTAAGTGGAAAGTAATGTTGTAAATGCTAACTTAGTTTGACTAAGTTCATATTATCTAACTTTAAATACACTTGAATTTGATAATATAGTTTTTTATCCCAATATTGATGCACAGTTCTCATCTAATAAAGAGAAAGAACTTGATGGTGATGAAGGAGAGATTAATGCAGCTCCACTCATAACCAGTGGATTAAAATCCTTTCTTTAGGGTCTGGATCCCTTGTTCTAATGTCGTCCTTTAAATGATTGGGAAAATAATGTTCACATCATGCCTGACCTGATAATGAGCAAGATAATCACCTAACAAAAAAGAAAATTATGATAATCAAGGATTAATTTGTCCATTCTTTTAACTGAATAATTCGTCCAATAGAGAATTTCATTATTGACTAACTACCAAAATTAGATTAGATTAGTGTTAGTATCAACATTCTCTAAGATCTCGCATTGGTTAAGATGATGAAGTAATCAAATTGTCATGCAGCTCAATTTGTAATATGTATAAAACCGAATTACGAGGTACTAGTTACACAGTACCGCGAGTGATCAATCAGAAAAAGGTTAATCATAGATGACAAGTCTATTTCCTCATTTAAGTATTTTCCTTTTTTCCAATCCCATTCTGTGTCGACCTCCCATTGTCTTCAACGAACTTTGCGAACTTTATCTTCCTGTCCTATGCCCAAGGATTTCTGGGCATTTGCAATACCTTCAGGATCTGCAACATAAACTCAATGAAACATCAAAATCAACAAATACCCGCTTTCCAAAATAAACAGCAGCTAATCCAATGAAGAGGAACAGTTACCACTATAACTTTGTCCAATCATAGATCATGCACATTAATATGATCACTCAAATGCCCAAATTTAATGGTGATTGAATGCATACTGAAGATATTTTAAGAGTACTAAATAATATTGACATTTCTTTACATTTGTAACAATTATAATATTCTAAGAGATATTTTTCAATCTTTATAATATGTCTGGATGTAATACAAAATGGAAGTAAGAAAAAAATAATATAGCAATTTGGTCTCCCAAATTATCTTCCTCTTGTTTAAAAATAGTCTGCAATTTAAGAAAAAATTAGTTTCTTGAATATTATATCACCTCTCTCTCTCTCTCTCTCTCTCTCTCTCTCTCTCTCTCTCTCTCTCTCTCTATATATATATATATATATATATATATATATATATATATGAAAGAGAAGGGGAAAAATGGTTTGAGACCAATGAGCATATATTAAGTAGTAAATGGTCATGATCCAGTTACGGACAACCTGAAGGCTTCGCATAAAATGCAAAAGAATATTTGAATTGAAGTTATGTTTGATGATAAACACCAGTAACAGACATTCTAAGATCCATGTTTAACACACTCTATTGTAACTGAAATTTATTGAAAACCACAAAAGATTGTATAAATTTGTAATTTTTAATCAAATTTAACCAATAAACGAGAATGATAGAAGAAATATGTTAGAGTTTATTGCTAACATGCTAACACTTCTAATTTTTTAATAGATGGAAAGAGATAGAAGGGAGGAATATGCAGTAGAATGCTCTTAAACAACATTGCTATGATTTTTGAAAATTTACGGTGGAAACAAATGAAACTTGATGAAATAGGTTCCATACCACTCCAACAATGTTTCTCCCCTGATTTGGAAGCATTATGAGATGAAATATGTTCACTTTCCGGATAATGGAGTGGAAACTTTGCTCCATTACCAACATAAAAGTATCCAACGACCATATGGTAATTTTGTCAAATTTTATTTCATTCCACTTGGCATCAGATATTCAAACAAAGCCTAGAGCATAGCTTCATCATCACCATACAAATGTAGCAGGGAAACGTAAAAATTTCAGAACTAGACTATAAAAAGAGGTGGATAAAACTTCCAGGTACATATATTTGGTCTTTTTTGTTAGTTCTAAAAAGAGATGAACAATAATCCTTAAAATAATTAGGACAGTTTGGTTCCATATATTATATTCTCAGCTGTGGAAAAAGGAACATCAAATCTAACATACCAAAGAACTGTGTGAAAATGCGAGTGAAGAAGCTCAAGTTGCGAGAGACATTATATGCCATGACAGGAGGAAGAGGTTTCACCACAGTGTCAATGCTAAAAACACGTTGAAGAAACTGCATTAAAAAAAAAATCAGTCCAAAATTTGAAGAAGAACATCAATGTCAAAGCAATTCCATAAACAAGAAGGAATGACAATAGTGTTTGTTTAGTTATTAGTTCCATCTAGCTAAACCCACATTCATCGTCCATTACACAAATTATTACTCCTCCATTTCATGAGATGCGGGAACATCTGTTTGCAATGATGCAATCGGTTTCCAAACATACTCATGGTCGTTTATATAGAACATGTAATAACAACAACATATATATGACAGTAAATGGAAAACGAGAAGTGTAATAGCAAAAGCTTAATTAACTGGGAAGGAAGCCAACCTGGATGTGCTGCAATTTATAATGATATCAGTCAGTGAAAGGTTATTGCAATGCCATACTCAAAAGTTGATGTAAACTATGAATTTACTCCATATAAAATATATTAAAATACCTATACATAGCATAATAATTCAACATTTTAGAAAGCAAACAAAATATTCAACTTGAATAAGAATAGTTCCAAACTCACGATTAAGGTATGCATAATTAATTTATCAGTAAAAAAAATTCTACAACATAAACTGGAGAAGTTCATTTAAGTTTTTCTTCTTACTTTTATGAGGAAGAAAATTGTCCTAACAGGTATGTAAACTAATTTTAACCTATTCAGAAATCTTGTTCATGTTTCTTACTTAGTAGTGTTTGTGGATATATTCATCTAAACAGACCTATATGTTGTAAAATAAAATAGATAGAAGAACCTGGAAATTGCGCTGGAAGCTGTAGCGTAGTTCGGGGTCAATCTCGATGGAATCATCGTCCTGGTGGAGATGGTTGGACTTGGAGGAGGGGACGTGCATGGTCGCAGTGCCATCACCCTGCCTCGTCACTTTCAGTTTTCCCTCTTCGATCACTTCGCTCTCCTCCCCTCTCCACGGCGCCGATGACATCAGTTGCTTCTTCCCCTTCTTTGCCATCTTTGATTCCTCACCCAATTTTCCTTATCCCAATTTCTTTTCCTTTCATCCTCTTATATTAGGTTACATTTTTTCGTCTTTTTCTCTTTCCAATTTTTTTAATTACTATTAATTCTTATTTTTCTTACCATTTTAAATCACTTTTATTAAGAAATATCAGCAACATTCTTTTTCATTGTAATAAATAACTATTTAGAAACCCTCTTTAAAATTCAGATGTTCAATAATTTATTTTTCTTTTTGCTTTACACGGTAGAAACTAATTTTTAGCATATTAATAAAAAATTAATTATCTTAAAATTGACTTAATAAATAAATAAATAACCAACTGGCATATTTTATACAAGTATAACAGGTGTAATTCTCAGCATAGATTATAAACTTTATTTTACTGTTTTCTCCTTGAATTTTCTTAAAATTTTATTTTTAGCCCTTGTATTTTTAAATAAATTAATTTAATCTTTAATTTTTAAAAATATATTATTTTTAAATTTTTATAGTTAAGTTTATCGTTTAATAATAATTTTTATGATCACAAAAGTAATAAAATGATTAAATTCATAAAAAATATTTCATTTTTATTATTTTTATATTTAAATTTAATATTTAATAACAACTTTTTATTATTACAAGATGGTTAAAAGAATTAAATTTATATTTTTATATAATTTATAGAATAATTAGTTAATTTTAAAATATATGTATCAAAATCAAATTTTACAAAAAAAGTACATAGAATATAACTATATTTAATTATTTATTTTAATAACTCTAAAATTAATAATAAATGAATGTTTAAAATAAATAAATTGTATTATTATAATTAAATTTTATAATACATAATTTATATTGTAATTCAAAATTTAATCATTTAAAAAGTTAGATTAGAATTATAGATACAAATAATATATTGGAAATTAAAATATGAAAATGAACTTCTAAAAAACATATGTTCGTATTAAAAAAATATTATAATAATAATACTAATAATAATAAATATTAACATTAATATTAATAAATAATATTACTAAAGTTTATTTTGTATGGCTAATCTTTGTTTTCATATTTTCTTTAGAATGTCAGCTTCCTATCTCTCTCTTTGTTTTGATGGTGGGCATTAAGAATTTGAATTCCCTTCTCTGGCAACTCAAAATGGAAATGTGTAAGAATAAAAGAAAAGAGATATAAAGGAGAGAAAGTAAGGAAAATCCTATATGCATTAACAGAATTACCTGAATGTGATTCCTCACAACTCAACACATCTTTGTAATGTAACTCCTATGAATTTACCTAGTGCTGCTGTTATGGAAAAATCTCCAAAATTTAGTAGTCACATATACAAAAGCTAACTGATCGTGGTTGCGATGGTAAAGCAAAAATGTTGAACATTTTTTATTCATTAACCTCAGAATACATGTTCAAGAAACAAAGAATGCTCCCTGACTTATTTGGTTGAAACTTGAAGAATTTGCAGGCAGATATGACTGCAGAAACAGAAGACTGCATGCACTTGCATTTGCAAGCTGATGTGAAACAAAAAATTGTGATCACTCAAATGCATGTTAGAATAGAAAAAATCAAAGTTAAACCTTCCACATCGTACAAATTTCAAGACTTCTCATTGGAGTACCGCCACTGAGATCAGTCTCTCGATCTGCTAAAGTCTCTAATGAGTAGACATCCCAACCTCCATCCCTCCAATATGAGGAATAAACTGCTGGGACATGTTGTACTCTCTTATATTCCTCACCTCCACTTGGATGCAGTGTTGCGATCAATTCTTCAGGCATGTCAAAAAACTCAATTGATTTTAGCTTGGTTAGATGTTCAATGCCTAAGGGTACCTGCTTTAGTGAACCGCAGCGCTGGATGATGAGCTTTTTAAGACCAGGCATTGCTCCCTCCTCCACAGTCATAGATTTCAGTTCATCTAAATCATCAAGGCCTAACACCTTCAGACTAGGAAACCCCTTAGCCTTGAAAGTCAATGCCTCACCTACATAAACTTGAAGAAACTCAAGATGTCTTAGATTTGGCAAATCTTGGAGATGTAACAGAGGATCCTCTCTTAGCCGACTCCATTTTAGAAACACTCGGACCAAATTCTTGAGAGCACTTATCCAGTGGGGAAAATTGTCTAAACGTCCACTTAAATATAACTGCTGGAGATACCGAGGAGGGCTGAAAATGTTGTGAATATCAATTATCTCATTATCTTCAATTGCTGTGATGGACAATGAGCGGAGATTGATCATCTTCTCAATGGATGAACACAAAGCAGCGCCCTCTTGTTGCCTCATCTTTCTAATGCCAAGCCTCCTGAGTTGAGTGAGTTTTCCTAGCTCAACCATCAAAGCCTGGTCTGCCTCTATAAAACATAGCTTTTGCAAAGATTGCATCATTCCTATAGGGGCAGCCACCTTGAAGCCGTGCCTTGAATGGAAATAAGCATAGGATTCAATCTCATAGCGATACACCAAGAGATGGCGTAATCGTTGCAGCTCCACAATTTCAACTGGCAATACTGTGACAGAGGAATGTTTAAGATCTAATGTTTCCAGTTGCTGCAGCTTCTTTATGGTACCTGGAATGCTTTTCACCTTTGTATTCTTCAAACTCAGATACTTGAGAAGGTAAAGGCTTACAATTTCAGCAGGAAAAACCTCCAAAGGTGCATCCTGCAAATCTAACACCCTGATTAACTTATAACCAGTGGAACATAATGAACGTATAGAAAAATGGTCCAGTGAATCTGATAAGGCAAACATTAGCAGAGATCGGAGCTGGAATGAAGCCCTATTTTGTTGCACATTTTGCAATGTATTTATGATTGACAGGCGTCGAACTTTGTCTGGCCAGATTATGTCTTGATCTCTGGCTATTGTGGCAAAGTTTTGATCCTTTGCCTTTAAATTGACGATCTCCCTTAGAAGATCATGCATGCGACAAGTCTTCATCCTTCCATCACTGGTTTTTGCTACAACTTGCAGCAGACTTCTGTCCAAGAGCTCCTTGAGGTAACTGTCTGCAACTTCCTCCCTTGTCTTTCCATCTTCTCCATTCACAAAACCTTCAGCTATCCACAATCGAATCAATCTCATATGCTCAATAGCATGAAACTCAGGGAAGATGCTTAGGTACAACAAGCAGGATTTAAGATAGTAAGGCAACTCATTGAAACTTAGGGAAAGCACTTTCTTCATATCCTCCAGTTTGTCATTGCCTTCAATTTCAGACCCAAAACTTCTGCAAACCATCTGCCACTCTTCTATGTTTGCCCTCCCTCGCGTAGCCAAAGCACCACCAATTGCAACAACTGCTAGTGGCAACCCACCACACATTTTTAAGATCTTCCTGCAAACTTCCTCCAGATGAGGAGGACATGAGTTACCCTGAAATGTTTTCTTGCAGAAAAGATACCAAGCTTCTTCCTCAGGTAAGAACTCAAGGTTAAAATCCTTACCCAATTCAGCACAAGAATACAAAGCTATATCTTTCTTGCGTGTTGTAAGCATCACTCTACTGCCACGGTTGTTATTAGGCAAAGCAAGTTTGACAGAATCCCATACCCTTACAAGCCACACATCATCCAGCACAATGAGGTACCTGCTTCTCTGAAGCAAGTTCTTGATCATATCTTTGAGCTCGTCACTTTTCATTTGCCCAACTGCTTCCGGAGCCGGTTTCCCAATGACATTATGGAGCTGTTGAACCAGGTCTTTAAGGAGCTCTTGCAGTTTAAAAGACTGAGAAACGTTAATCCAAGCATGAATCCTGAAACGCTTCTTCACATTTGGATCATCGTAGATTTGTTTTGCCAAGGTGGTTTTCCCCAACCCCCCATTCCATATATTGGAATCACAGCCCTACCTGGTTCTTCATTGAAAAGCAAATCACAAAGCTGCCTTTTGGGTTTGTCAATACCTACTAGATCAGCTTCTTCTAGCAGAAGTGCATCTCCTTGGCTATCAAGCCTTAGCCGTTGACTTGACCCTGAGCCTATCCCAGATAGGTCTGGACGTCCCTGGGATATAACGTTCACTTTGGTTTTGATGCTTTGCATATCTGAAGCAATTCTATGCCGAGCTTTCATTGTCTTAAGGCCGAAAGTAAACCTATGAACAGAAGAATTGTTTCCTTGTCCATGTTGCTCGACAAGGCGAAGGTTGAATTCGTCTATAGCATCTTCCATGTCATGAGCAACATCTCTCACTCGTTTAACCCATGCTTTGAGTTCAGGGTCTTTGTCTTCCATAGCATCAGCCATCCTTAAGATAGCCTTGTGACGTTCAAGTTCGTATTTGATGTGCTGAACATCTTCACGAACCCCTCTCTGCAGATTCACTTCTTCTTGAAGCAGAGAACTTAGCTTGTCCAGCAAAAACGATACTGAACTATCTGCCATTTTTGTTTCTCTATTTCCAAGAGTTGTTGCAAGAACTTGATCATGAAATTTCTGGGTCTATATTTTTGTGTACAGGAATAAGAATAGTTGCTAGGACTTTATCTTGGAATTTGTGAATTCCTTCTGGCTTTGGTTTTGTGCTTATATGGCCATCTTCAAGGTTACGTGTACGAATAACACTGTCCAAATCTATAAAAGAAAATGTGCCCTTACAAGAGCCACCAAGGAATTGGTCAACTTTTATTATTTGATTGAACGCCTTATGTTTCCGCGTCACAACATGCCAACGTAAGACCATGTCTTCCATGAAAAAGATGTTCTGTTGTTGTATCTTACAAAAGAAGATATAATGAATCAAAATATTCAAATCAGATGAAGAAAAAATGGCGTTGTAAATACATCAGAATTGTAGAGACTAGTTCAAATATTACGCGTATTCCGCCCTCTGTTTTGAGTCATAATCTTGGAAAAATATCAAATCAACTACGTTGTTATTGTGAAACAAGTAGACCAGTGAGCAAATCTGATTCCTTTAAAATTAAAAAAGAAAAATAATGATGTATTTGCATGAAAGTTTAGATTAATTTAAAGAAACATAGCCTTCCTAGAAAGTTAAAGGAAACCATCGATTTTATCGAGAGTTCTAGGAAGATATTCCTTATCAAAGGATAAACAGTTTGATCTGTAAGAGAAATCAAATTTTATTTTTACAAGAAAAGATCAACCAAGTTTTGATTTTTAATTTGAAGTACAGCAAGTCATATTACTTTACTCTTTTTTTAGACAATAATGAAGAAAACACTACATAAATAAAGTTGTGCTATATGATTCCCTGGCTTTTTTTACCATAATGGGTAAAAAAATTTGATTTTATCAGAGGGGGTTAAAATTTTCCTAAAATGAGTGAAATTGTGCAGGTAAAATGAGTTTAGATTATGAAATCATAGTTGCTTTCAAGCACGATTTTAATTTTTTTTAAATATATTTAATAACACGAATTATGTATAAATACTACTGCACTGAATTCGTATTATCTAGTATCATTTTCTTATAATTTTATTTTTTTAAATAATATTTTTTAAAATATATTATTTATTAAATAATTATTTTTAATTAAATTATTAATTTAATAAAAAACAAAAATATTTAGATAAACATAATTTAATTTAATTTATTATATTTATATTAAAATATTACATTATTTTAAAAAAATTAAATTTATTATTAAAATAGACAATTTACACAATTATATAAATTAATTTAATAAAAAAACATTTTTTTGTTTATTTTAATTTTATATTCATTTCATTTCGATAAAAAATATATTAAAAAAATTTATAATTACTCGAATTCAAAATAAAATAAATATATAAATGAAAAATAAAAAAATATTACTTTTATTAAAATGAAGAACATAATATTATAAATAGTTAATTTCAACAATAAATTTATATTTTTTTAAATAATATAATATTTTAATATAAATATAATAAATTAAATTTAATCATATTTATCTAAATATTTTTATTTTTTATTAAATTAATAATTAAATTAAAAATAATTATTTAATAAATAATATATTTAAAAAAAAAAGAAAAACTCATATTACTAATCATGTTTGTAGAAAAAAAAACAAAAATCGTGCTTGAAAGCCGATTTCTATTAAAAAGTATATTTTCCAACGCGATTGTATTCTCAAAATTGTCTTATTTAATACTATTTAACTTATTTTGAGAAAATTTTAAAATTTTTACCCGTCTGATAAAATCAATTTTTTCTCACCCAAAATGGTAAAAAAAGTCATGAAGTCATGATTCCCTACGTGATGAGTCAGATAATAACTGCAAAGAAATCAAAATAATCTAAAATCTTTTAAGAGAAATTTCATAAAAAAACAATCCTAATTCTTTTAAATTAATCTTCAAAGTTAGAAGTAAAGAGAAAAAAATTAAAAGTAAAAAATCACATGAAGTTCAAACTAAGAAAAAGTATCAATAACAAATAATAGTAACAAGAATAAATTTCCCCTTTTATTTCTTCTAATTGGAACATATCAGAAGATGTATATTTTGACAAGGTGAAGTCAAATTGCAAATCACGTCATTGGAGTGTTCTAAAGACCAAAAGAAATTTGGTTTCAAACAGCATCCGTAATAAAAAAAAACTTATATAAAATATGTTGTTATAAAAACAAAATATTAAAACTTTTATTATATTAAACATATAACAATTATTTTAATATTTAAATTATTAAAAATACTTAAGAACAGACATATAGTTTTCAAAAAATACTTAATAATGTTTGCTTCATTGAATACTTTTCAATCATTAGTTGCTTCTGATACGCGCCCAACAAACCTAAAGAAAGGGGTAAATTTTGGTCCAGGTTTATTTTTTTATACAGGGATGAAAAAAAATTATGTTTCCAGATATTAAAGGTGAAATTTGTTATACATATAAACGAGTATTTTGAATAAATATATAGAGGAATGAGCATGAATGATGGGTTATGATTATGAATATGATGATAATCATATATATTTATTAATAATTTTTATTTAATTTTTTAGAATAAATTTATCAAAAAAATATTTACAATAAAATCAATAATAATTAAAAAAATTAGTATTTAATTTTACAAATTTATATTTATATATTTAAAATATGAAAGATAATATTGATTTATATTAACATTTTATGGTAAAATTGTATTTCAATTATATTTTAAGATAAAAATAATTATTTCAGTATATTTTAAATAATTTTTTTTAAATAACTATTTAAAATTAAAATATTTATGAATATCTATATAATCAAATATAAAAAATTTGTTAACTTTTTTAAAATAAATACTCAATAAATAACAGAAAAGAAAAAAATCTACCAATAAATATCTACGTTGAAGAACATCATGATCAATGTCAAAGCAATTCCATAAACAAGAAGATGAAATAGTGTTTGTTTAGTTATTAGTTCCATCTAGCTAAACCCACATTCATCGTCCATTACACAAATTATTACTCCTCCGTTTCATGAGATGCGGGAACATCTGTTTGCAATGATGCAATCGGTTTCCAAACATACTCATGGTCGTTTATATAGAACATGTAATAACAACAACATATATATGACAGTAAATGGAAAACGAGAAGTGTAATAGCAAAAGCTTAATTAACTGGGAAGGAAGCCAACCTGGATGTGCTGCAATTTATAATGATATCAGTCAGTGAAAGGTTATTGCAATGCCATACTCAAAAGTTGATGTAAACTATGAATTTACTCCATATAAAATATATTAAAATACCTATACATAGCATAATAATTCAACATTTTAGAAAGCAAACAAAATATTCAACTTGAATAAGAATAGTTCCAAACTCATGATTAAGGTATGCATAATTAATTTATCAGTAAAAAAATTCTACAACATAAACTGGAGAAGTTCATAAGTTTTTCTTCTTACTTTTATGAGGAAGAAAATTGTCCTAACAGGTATGTAAACTAATTTTAACCTATTCAGAAATTTTGTTCATGTTTCTTACTTAGTAGTGTTTGTGGATATATTCATCTAAACAGACCTATATGTTGTAAAATAAAATAGATAGAAGAACCTGGAAATTGCGCTGGAAGCTGTAGCGTAGTTCGGGGTCAATCTCGATGGAATCATCGTCCTGGTGGAGATGGTTGGACTTGGAGGAGGGGACGTGCATGGTCGCAGTGCCATCACCCTGCCTCGTCACTTTCAGTTTTCCCTCTTCGATCACTTCGCTCTCCTCCCCTCTCCACGGCGCCGATGACATCAGTTGCTTCTTCCCCTTCTTCGCCATCTTTGATTCCTCACCCAATTCTCCTTATCCCAATCCTTTCATCCTCTTATATTAGGTTACATTTTTTCGTCTTTTTCTCTTTCCAATTTTTTTAATTACTATTAATTCTTATTTTTCTTACCATTTTAAATCACTGTTATTAAGAAATATCAGTAACATTCTTTTTAATTGTAATAAATAACTATTTAGAAACCCTCTTTAAAATTCAAATGTTCAATAATTTATTTTTCTTTTTGCTTTACACGGTAGAAACTAATTTTTAGCATATTAATAAAAAATGAATTATCTTAAAATTGACTTAATAAATAAATAACCAACTCGCATATTTTATACAAGTATAACAGGTGTAATTCTCAGCATAGATTATAAACTTTATTTTACTGTTTTCTCCTTGAATTTTCTTAAAATTTTATTTTTAGCCCTTGTATTTTTAAATAAATTAATTTAATCTTTAATTTTTAAAAATATATTATTTTTAAATTTTTATAGTTAACTTTATCGTTTAATAATAATTTTTATGATCACAAAAGTAATAAAATGATTAAATTCATAAAAAATATTTCATTTTTAATATTTTTATATTTAAATTTAATATTTAATAACAACTTTTTATTATTACAAGATGGTTAAAAGAATTAAATTTATATTTTTATATAATTTATAGAATAATTAGTTAATTTTAAAATATATGTATCAAAATCAAATTTTACAAAAAAAGTACATAGAATATAACTATATTTAATTATTTATTTTAATAACTCTAAAATTAATAATAAATGAATGTTTAAAATAAATAAATTGTATTATTATAATTAAATTTTATAATACATAATTTATATGGTAATTCAAAATTTAATCATTTAAAAAGTTAGATTAGAATTATAGATACAAATAATATATTGGAAATTAAAATATGAAAATGAACTTCTAAAAAACATATGTTCGTATTAAAAAAATATTACAATAATAATACTAATAAATATTAACATTAATATTAATAAATAATATTACTAAAGTTTATTTTGTATGGCTAATCTTTGTTTTCATATTTTCTTTAGAATGTCAGCTTCCTATCTCTCTCTTTGTTTTGATGGTGGGCATTAAGAATTTGAATTCCCTTCTCTGGCAACTCAAAATGGAAATGTGTAAGAATAAAAGAAAAGAGATATAAAGGAGAGAAAGTAAGGAAAATCCTATATGCATTAACAGAATTACCTGAATGTGATTCCTCACAACTCAACACATCTTTGTAATGTAACTCCTATGAATTTACCTAGTGCTGCTGCATTAGTTATGGAAAAATCTCCAACATTTAGTAGTCACGTATACAAAAGCTAACTGATCGTGGTTGCGATGGTAAACCAAAAATGTTGAACATTTTTTATTCATTAACCTCACATGTTCAAGAAACAAAGGATGCTCCCTGACTTGTTTGGTTGAAACTTGAAGAATTTGCAGGCGATATGAGTGCAGAAACAGAAGACTGCATGCACTTGCATTTGCAAGCTGATGTGAAACAAAAAATTGTGATCACTCACATGCATGTTAGAATAGAAAAAATCAAAGTTAAACCTTCCACATGGTACAAATTTCAAGACTTCTCATTGAGTACCGCCACTGAGATCAGTCTCTCGATCTGCTAAAGTCTCTAGTGAGTAGACATCCCAACCTCCATCCCTCCAATATTCTATTAGGTATTAGACTACTTGTACAGTAACTTAACTAAAGTAGAGAAGAGAAAAATAGAATAGTAATAATGAACAAAAGTAGAAATTTTATAACAGGAAGGAAAAATTACATACCCCTTCTCTAGTCCTAAGAATGACAACTCTTTGTAATATTAGAGAAAGAAAGAAAATTTGGGATGGATAGAATGGGGGATGTGGTTTCTTATATAACCACTTACCCATACCCCCTTTGAAGTACCCACTGATGTGGGACTTGTTGGCAAATTTTGGGTCATGTATATATATGATACATATTTAAATGTGTTAGGGTCATTATTTATTAAGCCAAATAATAAAATGATCTGAATAAATTAAAGTTTTGGCTAAAGGCATATGTCATGAAAATAATATTGTGTAGAGACCATAAAGTAATTTCTAATTTGATGAGGGGCCGAATTAGAAATACTAAAACTCAAGTAATTAACCTAATTTTGGTTATATAAAGGGTCATGGTCCCCTTCTGAGAGCACACAGACGAGAACACATTTACAGTCTCGTTCTTTTCTTTTTATCCTCATCAAGAGAGAAAATCAAAAGGGAAATACAGGTGCTCTTCAGGTGGAAGACCATAAGATCAAATCAAAAGTGTTCTACAAAGGATATCGTCATTATGGCTAATTCAGGTACGCTTTCGCATTTAGTTTATAACATGTTTACAGTATGAGATTAAAGATATATGTTTGATCATTATAATGAAGATCATATTCAATTACAGTTTAATCTAACAATTGGTATCAGAGCAACTCATACTTGATTCATGTTTATCTTAAGAAATATTTACAAAAATTTAGATTAATTTACGGAACCCTTAATCCCTAATTAAAAACCCCAAAATTAAGAATGCTAGGGTTTCTTAAAACCCTATTATCTGTTCCGCATGTGCATTATCCGGAGATGGCTAATTCAGGCCGCGCGACGCGGCTCTGATTCAGTTGGGTTAAGAGGCACGGTGAGAGTGGTTTGCAGCGGCGATTGGGGAAGCGCGACTAAGGCCATGGTGGCCAGGTTAGGTCTCGCGGTTCAAGCGACGAACTTCCTCCATCAGCGGTAATGGCTAGTTCATGGTGCCATTCTTCGACGACGGTGGCGCACTCAAGAGGTTTCATACGGAAGTTTCGAGCGCTGGGTCATCCAGCCCAGATCTGGGGTCATCCACCCATTTGGGTAACCCGATTGCTGAAATGGCAGGGTTGGAGTGGAAGGAATGGTTCATACCTGGGTGGCACTTTCGAATACGACTTCCCCTGAGGCGCAATGACGAGGTGTTAGGTCTGAGTTCAATTGATCGCAGTGCAAGTGTGGGAGGGAATACATTTGGCAACACTGGAGTCAACTAGGGTGGTTCTTCAGCATGGCTTCACTCACGGGTATACTCCAAGTACGGTCGGAGGCTATGGACCTCGAGCGGATGGTAGATTCAGTCTAGTTGCCAGTGGTCAAAGTGGATTTGCTCCATTTGGTTCAGGTTATGGAATAAGCATGAATTTTGAGCCTGGTTTGAATGCTGAATTTGGGGGAAATGCAAATTTCAATAGCAATCTTAGCTATGGTCGGGGAGTAAATCCTTATTTTATTGGCAGCTCCAATAGGTTTGGCAGTCCTGTTGGATTTGTCAGTGGTAATGGAGGAAACAATTCCCTGCTAATGTAAATCATGCACCTTTTGAGCATTATCCACCATCGGTGGTTCTTTAGAAAAATTCCCTGCTAAGGCATCTGTTAAAAGTATAGAATCATCTTGCTTCTCAGTGGTTCTCCAAATTCTCAAATCAGCAGGAAAGTATCCTGTATTACTCCATTTACGTAACTGTTGCTACCCCGGAACAATTGGCGACGAGAGAGGATGGTGAATATTGTGTGATGGGATTGATGGTTCACGTTGTGCTGGGTGCTATTTCATATGTGCTTTATTGCTTATGATGAAAATTTTATAATTGGGACGTGATGCCCCTATACTGAGAGGGAAGGAAAAGTTTGTAATGTTCATCATCTATCTGGAATTATTTAATGTAATATTAAATTTGAGTTTGTTTGTGAGATGGCGGGACAAATCTTTTTGGTAAATATAAAATTTAAATCAATAAAGCTTCTAAGAATTTTGGGGAGCTGAAGGGCCAGGAGTAGGAGCAGAGGTATAATGTGGACACCTCATATGCCTCTAAGGCGTGGACCCCAACCCATGTCTGGAATGCAGGGCTTTAACCTTGTAATGATGGGAGTTAGAGGAATTGACCTTGTGTTTCCTCACCATGAAAATGAAATTACTCAGAGTTGTGCTGCATGTAAGAAAAGTGATATAAGCGTATGGATGCACAATGGTTTTGTCACCGTTGATTCTGTGAAGATGTCAAAATCTTTGGGAAATTTTTTTTTCACAATACGTCAGGTTATAGACATTTACCATCCACTGGCCTTGAGATAATTTTTGATAAGTGCCCATTATCGATCTCCTGTCAACTACTCAAATGTACGAGCTTGAAAGTGCTTCGGATCGTATTTTTTATATATATAAATAAATAAACAAATTTTGGTTTTGTTATATAATATTCAAAATTTTTTTTGTAGTTTAATATTTTTTGTGAGCAAATTGAGTCAAGAAGTTACCAAAGTAACCTCTCTTGAATTGGGTAGTTCATGAAAAATATTGAATGTTAGTGTTTGTGTATATTCATGCGAGTATTAGTCGGCCCAAAGGAAGATTAATATTTGGTCGAATTACATACACACTTGTAATGATAAACATGTGATAATTATAAGGATTTGCTTTGTCGATGATAAATCAATCCAAAGACTAGTTTGTTGTTGGACGTGCTTTATTGTCAATGTTTGATTATTACAACAAGATACCTCTAGCGAGTTAATATTATCGTCCAAAGACTTGATATTGATGGTGCATTGGGTGTCTTGAGATGGGTTAAACCATTATTTGAATATTATATATTTTATTTATAATTGTTTATTTTATAATGTGAGCATAATTAGTTTATTTCTTTTGTTCTAATCCAGCTACAATTGCTTACGTATCTGCAAATTTGAATTCTGTTCAGATCCTCAATGGAACAAATTTTAAGGACTTGGAAAGAGAATATTGATATTATTCTTGGCTGCATGGATATGGATCTTGCATTAAGGATCGAGCAACCCCCTACTCCTACGGATTCAAGTACCTCCGAACAAAAAAGAGATTATGAGAAGTGGGATCGTTCAAATCGCATGAGTCTAATGATCATTAAGCGCGGCATCCGGAGATGTTTAGGGAGCACTGTTTCGAAAACATCACAAGTGCCAAAGAATTTCTTGCTTGAAATTGAACAGCGCTTTGCAAAAAGCGATAAGGCGGAGACAAGCACTCTTCTTCGAACTTGATCTCCATGAAATATCGGGGCAAAGGAAATATCGGAGAATACATTATGAGCATGTCTAATATTGTTTTTAAGCTCAAGGCACTAAAACTTGAACTCTCGGAAGACTTGCTCATTCATTTGGTGTTGATTTCTCTTCCCGCAACGTTTAATCAATTTAAGGTATCTTACAACTGTCAAAAGGATAAATGGTCTCTTAATGAGCTCATTTCTCATTGCGTGCAAGAAGAATAAAGGCTAAAACAAGACCAGGCAGAAAGTGCTCATTTTGCAAGCACCTTTAAGGCTAAAGGCAAAAGAAAGAGATCGGAGGATCCCAAGAAGGAAGGCTGCTAAAGGTCCAGAACAAAAGAAACAAACTCAAGAAAATAAATGTTTCTTTTGCAATAAGACTGGACACATAAAGAAGCAATGTGCTAAATATCATGCTTGGCGTGAAAAGAAAGGGTTGCCTAAACTACCGGAAGCCAACTAATTCTGAAAGATGAATATACGTTGAAAATGGCAAATTGGTGGAGATAGAGACTATTGAACATTTTAGATTATTATTGTGTACTGGTTTTTTATTTTAGATTTAAAAGACATTTTTTGTCGTGCCGTCTTTTAGACGGAATTTGGTTTCAGTTTCTTATTTGGACAAATTAGGTTATTTGTGTTCATTTGGAAACAATAAGTTCAGTCTGTCTTTTAATTCAGATATTGTTATAACTGGTTCATTTTTTGACTAATGATAATCTATATTTACTTGATAATGTGGTCACCTATAATGAAACTCTTAATACAGAATCTCATGGTATTAAACTAAAATTGGACTCTCAAATAATAGGTAGTTACTTCATTAGTTATTCTGAAAGATCCAGGGGATATAAATTTTATAATCCCACATTAAAGACAAATTTTTGAGATGAGAATTGTTATGTTCTTTGAGGATATTGAGTTTGGGGGGAAGAATAAGATTAAGAATTTTGTATTGGAGGAAGAATCGACAATAAATCCATAACCGATTCAAACAGTTACTTTTGATAAAGTAAGTTCGGAACCTCCACACGACATTGATGATAAACCCCATATTCAAGATGATTTCATTGTTCGTCAAGACCAAACTCAAGATCCTCAAGAACCTGTGCGTCATGAGCCGGGGATACTCCAGTTACTAAGGGAGACAAGTTTAGTCTAAATTAGTGCCCAAAAAGGAATTTGGAAATTGAGGAATTTGGAAATTGAGGAAATGCAATAGATTCCCCATGCATTAGCTATCGGGAGTCCATTGGAAAGCAGCAAAAAAGGTCATAAGATATTTAAAGAGAACAAAAGATTATATGCTCACATACAGGATGTCAGACCAGTTGGAGATCGCTGGATTTTCTGACTCATATTTTGCACGATGTCAAGAATTTGTAGCATGCTATGAGGCATCAAATCATGAAATATGGCTGAGAAATTTTGTCACAGGGCTGCAAATTGTGAAAGACATTGAAAGACCACTTAAGTTATATTGTGACAATAAATCAGCTGTATTGTTAAGGAAAGAGTACAAAGTGGACAGATATCCATAGAACACTTAAGGACAAACTCCATGATAGCATATCCTCTAACTAAAGGACTTCCGCCCAAGGTCTTTCATGAGCATGTTGCTCACATGGGTGTTTTACAGTTTGAGGAATTTGTGGTTTAGTGGGAGTTAGTCATTTTCATATATTTTATGTTCTATGTTTAATTTTATATATGTATACATTATTTTTTGGACATATTTGGTTATCTATAGATATGCGGTTTTCTTGTTCATTCATTACACTTTGTACATTAAGGTTATTATATCGATCTCGATAAGTTAAAGTTTGGACCAGTTGAAAATAGACGTGTACAGATCATCTTCACGTAATTTTTCATGCTACACATTTCATGATGAATCCATGTCATTTGGTTATGTCAGGATGAGTAATCTTGTTGGTTTTAGTTGCGATGATGCAATGAAAAGCTGGTTTGGTTCTATATCCTGATATGATTAATGGACAGGACTTTTGGAATATGCTAAAGGAATATAATGACAATTTTGAGCTCATAAAGTCTAACACATTTGTAAGGTTGTAAAGACATATATATTTGTGACCAGTGGGAGATTGTTGGCAAATTTTGGGTCATGTATATATATGATACATATTTAAATGTGTTAGGGTCATTATTTATTAAGCCAAATAATAAAATGATCTGAATAAATTAAAGTTTTGGCTAAAGGCATATGTCATGAAAATAATATTGTGTAGAGACCATAAAGTAATTTCTAATTTGATGAGGGGCCGAATTAGAAATACTAAAACTCAAGTAATTAACCTAATTTTGGTTATATAAAGGGTCATGGTCCCCTTCTGAGAGCACACAGACAGAACACATTTACAGTCCCGTTCTTTTCTTTCTATCCCCATCAAGAGAGAAAATCAAAAGGGAAATACAGGTGCTCTTCAGGTGGAAGACCATAAGATCAAATCAAAAGTGCTCTACAAAGGATATCGTCATTATGGCTAATTCAGGTACGCTTTCGCATTTAGTTTATAACATGTTTACAGTATGAGATTAAAGATATATGTTTGATCATTATAATGAAGATCATATTCAATTACAGTTTAATCTAACAGGACTTTGTTCTCACAATCTTCCACATGAAGATTTTGATGAAATTAATCAAATCTTCACACCATAATTATCTTTTCCATTTATGCTGCTTATGTTTTCAATAGGTCATAACAGGATCGACTTTGTATAAACATGTCAGCATTTACTGGTTTTGTCATAGCATCTGCTAGGTTATCTTTAGTATGAATCTTTTGCATATCCACACTCCCTTCCTCTACTACTTCTCTGACAAAATGATATTGTACTCCTATGTGTTTTGTTCTGGAATGAAAAGCTGGATAATGTGCAAGGCACTCTGACTGTCACAATACACATTGATCTTTTATTGCTTGTGTCCGAGTTCTCCCAATAACCTTTGAATCCAAATTGCTTCCTTGCATGCCTGGGTAGCTGCCATGTACTCCGCCTCTGTAGTAGATAAAGTTACAACAGTCTGCAGTTTAGATAGCCAACTTACCGCTCCACTTGCAAGTGTAAACACATATCTTGTAGTAGATTTTCTTTTATCAAGATCACCTGCAAAATCTGAATCAACATATTCTCTGACAATAAACTCTGATCCTTCAAAACATAATGCAGCATTTGAGGTTCCTTTAATGTATCTTAGGATCCTTTTCACAGCATTCCAGTGCTCTCTACCAGGATTTGTCATAAATCG